ACAAGAAGTGGTTCGCCATTTTGTTTTCTGTAGTATTAACTTGTATTTATTCCTCTCAAATGGAGAATCTCATGGCTTTTGTTGACAATAACTGCCCTCTTCTCCTTTCTCTTCGGGGCCGAGTGAGGCGCTCACCATGAACTTTAAAATGAAACCGAATGAAAAAGGCATTGTTTATCTAAGCTGTCTGTGGAAGGGCACTTGGGAGAAGAATTGAACTCTAAAATAACCTTATGAAAGTTATTGATTTGTTTCTTTATGGTTCCCTGACAAACGAGGACCATTACTTCTGTGCCCGAACTGGAGCTGGGTCAAAGAACTCTTTTTTATGGATTGTCTTTCCTGGAAACCAGACTTGCCAAGGAAATGAACTTCTGGAAGTGAAGATGTGAACCCAAGTTGAATGCAGCCTTTCTTCCATTGCTTTGAGGGACGACATGTAGGGAGTACAGTTAATTGTTAAACTTGGACTGAGTACAACAAGGTTTGTAGCTAGCGTTAGGAGAGTTAGATGAATTGCCCACTGTTATGTATTTGGTAAGGGATTCTGTCTAAGTGCCACTACTCCCAGTTCAACTGCACACTCAGGGGTCTATTTGGGCCAAGGATTGGCAGGAAGAAAAGAATATATGCACGAGTGTGCACGTGCACACACACACACACACACACACTTGTTCTTCCACCTTATATTTTAGAAGTAACTTTGCATGAAAGATCCCATAAATTATGTAATTTATTTTTTGAAGGAATAGAAAATACAAGTAAAATAAAGAAGCGAAAGAAGAAAAATCACTGAGCCCACACCCACACATTTCTCTCTATGCTTGTAAATACATTTTCCTGCACAACAATCACATTCTACTTACTGTTTTGTAACTTGAAAGCACAGATTTTAGAGAGCACTTTATGCGCTTTTTTGTTTTATTTTAAAAATGAGATGAATTAATCGGTCATTATAGTGGGGTTATTATACTATTCCGACGAAAGAAAATTTATGTTGACAGTTGATATATTGATCTTTAGAAAGCTTTAAAATAATTCGCCTTCACAAACTTGAGTACTAACGAGGGATATATTCATTATTTATTTTTAGCACTACTCAAATGTTCAATACTTAACCAAATTAATGAATTATGTGTGATCCCCCCCCCACCAAGTGCCAATGATCAGTCCATCTTAGGACTTTTCATGTGCTAAGCAAGTACTGTTTCCCTAGCCCAGAGTAACATGGCAGTATAATATATGGCGATAGAGATACGTGATTCACCTATTACTAAAAACACTGACAATCTTTGAGCACGTATCTTCTGCTGCTTTTTAGGTTTGTCCTAATATAGTTCTCTAGTCTGTAATCTGAAGCTGAAGAATGCTTCTCTTGTAGAGCGTGTCAGATTTGAAGAGAGGATTATAAAGTGATGTAATTGTAGTAGTAACATGGAAAAACCTGTAAAACTTCCTTTACAATGTTATTCCTTCGGGTTTTATGGCTTTATCCAAAGTTGGAAGCTGCTGAGGACTTCCTGCACCCCTACCTTCATAAACCAATTTTATGGGACCATAGAAATTGATTCGTAAAGTTTTAGGCCTGAAAAATATATGGCTGTCTATCCCGGCCTTGGGAAAGGCTTATTTTATTTAAAATTACCCATATATTATTTACGTCCATGAGGACATTAATACGAGGAAGTACTTTGACGGGTCCAGTGCTTAGATGAAGAAATAGTTTCCTCAAGCACAGTTAGATACCAGCGAAGTGACAGCCAACACTGTCGGGTTTAGGAGCGTCCTCAGTTAAATGTTGTTTTGGGAGCTCGCCCAACCCATGCAGAACATCGGAATTCAGGTGGATAATCTCATAAGGACACGCCGTCATTTAGGCTTATTTACTGCTTAAGCCGATGTTCACAAACTGCCCTACGTGGAAGGGGCCTGCAAAGAGAAAGCTGATAACGAGATCTGGCTTTGGGAAGACTACTCTGCTGGGCAGTAAGGAAATGGGAGTCAGGGAAGTTTTCTAGCTCCAGAGGAATCTCACCTTTGAATTCGTGTAAGGACAAGTTATGGTTTTGTGAACGAATGTGAAATCTTAGTGTATTCTAGAAGGGCCTATTTAGGTTCAGCCTGCTGACGCCTGTGAGGTGGGTATTGTGGATTGTTAGCAAGCTGGAGTCAGTGTGAAAATGGCTGAGCGTGGAGAAGAACTTGGAGTCTGTTGTGGAATGTTCCCTCTCCAGGAACTTAAATACTTAAATACTTAAAATGCTAGGATTACAGGCATCTACCATCATGCCCAGAATCTACACATATGTATACACGAATGTGCTTGTGAGCGTATGTATGTATGTATGTATGTATGTATGTATGTATGTATGTATGCATGTGTGTTTGGGATTTTGCTTTGCTATAGACAATGTCTCATGTAGCTCAGGCTAGCCTTGAATCTTCTACATAGCTGAGGCTGCCCATGAACTTATTTTCCTCCTATCTTTATTTCCCAAGTGCTAGGATTGCAGGCCTGTGACTCTGTGTCTGATGTGTATTTTGTTACAGTTTTGGTTGTGAGCCTGACCTTTAATGGCTGAGTCATCTCTGCAGCCCCCATTTGTGTTTCTTAAATGACTGTGGAGAGGCCCTCATCTATAAAGCCTAGGCCCTATCTCAGAGATTATGAGTTTAGCCTTGAACTGAAAGTGCTTGCCTGGGGGATATTGTGCTTATCCAGCACAAATCCGCACACGTCGCTTTATTAGTCATGATTTTCTAGAAGAACTCAATTAATGGTGAACGGAATTAAGGGCAGATTGCTGTATTCTAAGGAATCGGTCTGTGCAGTTGATGTGAGTACCAGGTTTAGTAATCTGTAAGGCAGGTCACCTGACTGGAAACTCTCAATTTCTGTGTTTAGAGACTTGAGGTCAAACTTGAGACCAAATTCCCCACTTTCCAGGACTCTTCAGGTTTATAACTAAAGCTAACCGCTAGTTGGGACCCACTGATGCTGCAGAAGGTTGTCTCTTGCTTCAAGGCCAGCTGGTGGCATGCATCAGTTTCATCTGCAGAAGACAGGCTAGTAGTAAATTAGAAACATAAATTGAAAATGTCATTAATAAGGGAAGCCCATGAACATCATGGCCACCTAGTTGTTGACCCTTGTGATGACATGGTTGACTGAGAGCTCTGGTCTTCGGCCACCACCTAGCATGTCCAGAGATCACCATGCTGTACCTTTCTATCTCACGAAAAGATCAAAATCCAAAACCGTAGAGGTGATCGCTAATGAACAAGTATATCTTTTGTACTACTCTCCAGTAAACAAGAATATAAATTTGTGGTCGTCTGTACCTTCATAGGAACACAAATTAGCATTTGGTCAAAGAGGAGGGGACTGTAGCCTAGCCATCCAAAACATAATCTAAGTAATATGGGGATTCCAGTGGCTCTCAAGGGTTTAGAAATGGCTCTTAATATATTGACTAGTACTTTTATGGGTTGGCAGAGGAAAATATGGCTAAGAAAGTTTAGGAAGGAAGGAAGAAAGCCTTTCCCAAGCAACTCATGAACTAATGTCTAGTCCTTTAAGCATCTCTAGTATGGCAGGCCACAGGAAATTCATGCTTTAAGTGGCCTATAGTCTGGTCTAGCAAGGCAATCACGAGCTTCAATCAATGCTATAAATTGTGTTAGTGTTCACAGACACAGTGGGGTCAAAGAGTAGTTGAGTAGCTGTACCCTGGTAGGGTCCACGGTCAAAAAGGATTCATCCCTGAGATGGAGGCCGGCTTCATGAGCTTGCTTTGGAGAAGTCAGAGCAGATCAGGAACTGCAGGAATGTGAGACCAGGTCAGGGGAAGCCAGTGGCTCAGCCTGGGACTGTGAGCCTCAGCCTGCCCTTGGCGATAGGGAAAGGCCTTGAAGTGTCTTTTGTCATTTTGTTCTGTTGGAACTAAAGATGCACCCCAGAGTAGTTTCAAAACAGAGACCCACACAGTGTTCTTAAAGCAGGGTAGTGTTTCAACCGCAGCCAACAGGTCAGTATGGCTGTTGGAGAGGCGGAGCAGGAACGTGTGTTGGGAGCCCTTGTCATTTGCATTCCTCATTGCTTCCATCAGAGCCACCTCTCAACAGCCAGGTAGAGATTTTTGCTGCATCTCTGAGAGACCTGGGCAAGTGTGACTTTAAAATGAGTCCACTTGAAATAAGGATCTGGCATGAGGGAAGACAAGGAACTATAAAGACACTTCCGAGACTTTTAACTTAGCCCAGATACACTTCTATTCACGCTCCCTCTATTCTCCTTCCCAAACTGTTGAACAGCTGCACTAGATCATCAGTTTATATCTCTCCAATTCCCTTCTATTCCTGACTAAAAGGAGTGGTGAGATCCTTACGGATGCCATCCATACTCGGGTGAAAGGAGTGCCCGTGTTCCAGCGCACAGCTAGGCACGAAGGCGCCAGCCGTCCAATGTATGTGTTGGTGGATCTCTCTTAAAACATTGCGCCGCCCCTCGCCTCCTCCTCGTCGCTGGTAAACACTGAGGACTAGCAAGTGGACTTAGCCACGCTTTTAGTAGTTAGTGGGAAATCTTGATTTTTGGATGCTGGCTAGTACTCTTAAAGTGTCATTGTCTGTTCAGTCGGCTCGGGTGGTTTTGCCTAGTAACCGCACAAAAAAAAAACACCCACCCCCCCCCCCCCCCCCCCCCCCGCGTGTCCTCCTGAGGTTTCAGGCCAATCAATAGTTTTTACTCTGGGTATCGACAGCTCTCTGCTGAATGCCCTTGTCTTTGGTTACGTGGGCTGACTGTTGTGAAATGGATTACATGCTTTTATTGCCACTTGGGGTTTAATCAGTGCCCAGCATGTCCTGTGCGTGGTGTACCCGTGACTTTCTTTTGCCTTTTTAAACGCCCGGGACATGGGGCTCTTGATGGTGCTGCCTCTGAGAGTTGCAGACCTTCACTGATCAGTTTTTAACTCAGAGCTTCTGCTTCTTTGCAGGATGCGACAATTTGGAAGCCTGATTCATGCCAGAACTGTCGTTGCCATGGTGATATTGTGATCTGCAAACCTGTTGTTTGCAAAAACCCTCGGTGTGCCTTTGCGAAGGTATGGTTCCCTAATTGTAGCCTAAACTTACTGGTAAAGTCGACAAATGACCGAGTTTCTAAATCTTTTTGGTCACATTTTTGCATCGATTCCAGTCTCTAATTGGAAGCTAAAGGAAACGAGGTAGAGAATTTTAGTTTTCCTCAGGTAAGAATATAAGAATATCTTCATTTTCATTTATTGACCACATATTCTTGGCAAATCCCGTGGTTAAAGGTTTTAAAAATGTCACTTCCTTTAGTATGATGGGAGATTAGTGTCTTCTCCCACTTCACGGTGAGAAAGGTAAAGCCTGGGGACTTTAAGCAGTTAGCCATGACCATACAGTTAATAAACTGCAGCTCAGGGATTTTACCTGGTTCTGACAGGTGCCGGAGCCGTTGACAGCAGTCACTATCTCTGCGCCACTGACTGGCTTTCTAAAGATGGATTTGCAGAAAGAGCTTGGCTCTGGCGACAGCCTTGCTACACGGCTGGACCCATGGGAAGCAGGAGAGCTCCGACTCCGGCATCTCCCTTATCCCCTTTTCTCTCTCTTCTGCTCAAAATAGTGTATACCTATTTTGCTGGGAAAGTGTTTTCTGGTTGCTGACCCTTTTTGAGTCAATCTATTTTTTAAAAGCTTAACTACTAAATGCAAAAACTGGAACTCTTCAGAGAAGAACAGTTATTTTCTTTGAAAAGCGTTCTGTCAGTCTCAGAAGCACAGTTGGGTTGGCTAGACCATTCCCTTTCCCCAGCAATTAATCTTGACTCTTTCTGCCTCTCATGGCAATAAAGTTCTCCTTTTCTCCCTAAGATCAGAATGAAAATGTGCTTTATACATAGTTAGGCTTCCTATGCTGTGATTAAATACAATGACCAAAAGCAGCTTGGAAAGGAAAGGGTTTATTTGGCTTACATATGTCAGTTTACAGTCCACTGACTGACGTCAGAGCAGGATCCTGGAGGCAGGACCTGAAGCAGAGGCCAAGGCGGAGCGCTGCTTACTGACTTGTTCTCCATGGTTTGTTCGCCTTTCGAATGCCCCAGGACTGCCTGTCCAGGGATGACACCACCCACAGTGGACTGGGCCCCCCACACCAACCATTAATCAAATTAATAGCCCACAGACTCACTGCAGGCCAGTCTTATGGAGGTATTTTCTCAATTTAGATTCCCTCTTTCCAGGTGTGTCTAGGTTTGTGTAAAGTAGACAAAAACCAACCAGCACAGAAGCCAGGAGTCTATAGATGTTTAAGTTTGCTAATATTATATTATATACTTATGGATTCTTCTATTGTATGGAACAAATATTTCTAAGAAATCACTCCTTTTCCTACTTCACAGGACTGTTTATGTTGTTATAGAAGAAACCCTGAATTAAATGTTAGAGAGTTTGGATTGTACTGTTGAAAACTAAACTAAATTTTTAATATTTTCTGCTGTCATATGTTAATAGTCAAAAGTAATGGAGTTCATTATGGTATTTCCTGTAAAACTGGAGAAGCTCTTTGCCCGCTATTTATCTGCCTGGGGAGCGATAGCCAGAATCAGTGTAGAACTAGGAAAATGTGATGGCAAAAGAACAATCAAGAAATGGTTTGAAATGAAATAAGCAGACACCCCAAAGGGAGTGCAGAGGGCCAATGAATGCATGAAAAAGTCATCTGAAGAATGCAGACCTAAAGCCCTTTATACCAGGGGTCAGTGAACTAAATTCAGCTGCATCTTATTTTGTATTAATTTAAAATATTTTGGGCTGGAGAGAACTAAGTCAGTAAAGTGCTTTCTCACAAGCTTGAGGTTCCAGATTCCATATCTAGAATCCAGGTTAAATAAACAACAAAACCCACAACTGGACACAGTAGTGTGAACGTATAGCCAGGGTAAAAACAAGCGGACCCTTGGAACTTGATGCCTGTCTTCGCACTTGAGAGGCCAAGGCAAGGGGAATCCAAACTCAGCCTCTCTGCTTAATCTTTTTAGCTTCTCTTGATCACTGGGCTTCACTTATTGAGCTGCCTGGGTGGTCTCTAAATAAAGGAACACACACACACACACACACACACACACACACAACCCAACAGAACGAAAAGCAAACCAACCAACCAAACAAGCAAAGAACAGTGGAATACAAAGGCCCTATGATAGAAGTATCTTTCTCTTTCTCTTCTATACACACACATACATACACAATGTACATATAGAAATATATAAAACAAAAGAATTGTTTTACATCTTTTAAATGACTAAAATACCAAGACCCTAATTTAGAAAAATTGTGTGAAATCCGTGTTCTGTGTCCATAAATAAAGTTTTATTGAGACACAGGCGCCTCACCTGTTTCTGTGCTGTCTTTAGTGGCTTTACTACTTTCATGGTAGTTGTTGTAGCTCTGATATGCCCTGCATGTGGCCCCTAAATGCTAATGTCAAGTCTCTGTCTTTTTACAGTTTCTGATTCCTGTTCCTACTTTTTCTCAGCTCTGGAAACCCCTCCTCCCGATTCCTCAGGCCAGATAACTTAAATCGCCCCGAATTCATCACTTGCTCCCACATCTCACACCCAGAAAATTCCCCAGCTCTTCCTTTCCAAGGACAGGCCTTTTCCCGGCTTCCCACAGCACCCCTTAACTGGTTTGGCTGATTCTGAACCTCCCCTTGTCATAGCAGCAGTCACATAGTAGCCAGGATGATGCTGTGAAAGTTGAAGCCTGCTCATGTTGCTCCCCTCTTTAAACCCCTCCAGTTGCTTCCCTTCCCAATTAGAATAACTGCTCACAATGTACTTCATACCACCATTGTAGATGTTTAATTAATCATCTGTTAGCCTTTCTCTTGTTCACTCTGCTTTAAATATTGAGCCTCAGTGCTGCTCCCTGGATAAACACAACACACACACACACATGCACACACAAACACACACACACACACACACACACACACACACACACGCTTGTACATGTGCATCCTCTCCCCCATCCATACATACCTGAGGGGAAAAAACTCTTAGTGGGAACAGCAAAGTGCAAAATTCCCACAGCAGCAGCATGTATGATGCATGGATACCTTGTGTGTGTGTATGTGTGTGTGTGTGAGAGAGAGAGAGCATACATAATGTATCATGGATACCATGTGTGTGTGTGTATGTGTTAGCATAACATAATGCATGTCTATGCGTTGATTCACGGCTTAATCCTTCACTTTCTTTAAGTTTTGCCTGAATGCTATTCTGTTAAAAATTTCAACTCTCGCTGGGCGATGGTGGCGCACGCCTTTAATCCCAGCACTCGGGAGACAGAGGCAGGTAGATCTCTGTGAGTTCGAGACCATCCTGGTCTACAGAGCTAGTTCCAGGACAGGCTCCAAAGCCACAGAGAAACCCTGTCTTGAAAAACCAAAAAAAAAAAAAAAAAAAAAAAATTCAACTCTCCACCACCTAGCACATATTATCTTCTCTTTTTATTGACACTAATTACTATATAACACACCTTATATTTATTTTATCAATTTCTTCTTACTATCTCTTTTAGTCACTGCATTTCCTTAATGTCTGCAATCATACTGGACCCACAGTAGGTACTCAGTCAATACTTTTGAATGATGTATGGGAGCATGAATGAAAGATGAGGCTAGAGAATAAGGCCTACATTATAGAGGAGTTTGAACCTGTACTAGGTAGCTTAGAGCTTAATTTTTAAGATGATAGAGTCTAGTGGCGTTGTCATGCATGAACGAAATATCCAAGTTTCCTTTTAGAAGGACTTTTCTGTTTTTTTTTTTTTTTTCGGGGTTAATATATAACATTACAAGTGAGGATGTTAATCCAGAGGCGATGAGAACAACCCAGGGGAGAGAACAAATACATAGACAGCGGCATTGGTAGTGTAGGGATCGAGAGGAAATGTCGAGTTAAATGCACATGTAGGGTAAGTCAGCAGAACTTGATGAAGCTTTAAAGAAGAGAGTGCTGTATAGAGAAGGACGGAGTAGGCTCCAGAGCATGGAGCTGGAGTGTGGTGGAGGTAGGAAAATCACCCTGTTCTCTAGGAATGGACAAAAGAGCCAGGGGTGGGTTCAATGCATTTAAGTGTGAGGGCAAGATGCGGGCAAATAGTGATGCATTGCAGCGATGAGCACCTGATGCAGGTGACTCAGGAGTCGCTGTTGTAGTGGTGGCAGTCTGTCACAGCACAGGCCTTGAGAGCAGCTCGCCTCATGGGAGCCAAGGGCAAAGCCAGAGACTCTGTTTTCACTTTAGAAGTTCTGCCGTTACTCTCGCCCATCCTCTATTCAGGGCACCAGCTTATAGGAGGGTGTGACTCTCAGGGAGGGGCTCCTAAGCCTCTCCTCTTTGGCATTGCCCATGCCCTCGGGGAAGCATTTTATTCATTTCCTAAGTGCTTCTCAATGCTAGCAAGTGGGCAGTGACTCCCCGCTGCCGCAGAGTGTGTGAGAGTAGAGAATATCAGGGAAAGGGAGTGACCGAGGTTAGGTAAAGCATTAGTGGGGATGCTGAGGACCTTCAGGAGCAGGGAGCCACCAACCAGTGGGAGTTCCCTCTTGCCTAGTGATACTGTTCCCATGGCAGTTTAAGCCACTCCTGTAAAAGAGGCACAATGCATCCTGGACTGGGATTTGGCTCTGCTAACGAAAGAAAGCAGCAGAGATGGGAAGTGACAGGTCCTGGGCAAACGGGGCCAACTTGACACTGAACGTATGCCGAGGAGACGCGTTCAAGGCTCCCTTTGAAGGAAAGATGAGTGGGAGCGAAGGCTTGCTGAACCCTGGGAACCTTGCTTGCAGAGCTGAAGCTTTCCGGTCTGCAGCGGGTTAGAGTATGGGAAGATGGCAAGCTTGACTGTGGCCCCTAAGCTCTCAGCAGTAGAAAGAAGGATTTATCGAACTGAGGCGATTAAGAATGTACGAGGGTCGAGTGTAGATCTTGCCGCTTTCACATTGAAGTTGTTCAGGATGGTGCTTAGAAACAGGCAGAACTGAGATCGGATGCCGAGGCTTCTGTGAGTCTGATAGGGTGATCAGCAAAGGTGTTTACCTGGTAAAACTGTAGCAGTTAACTATGTAAACACGATTAATATGTGTAACTATTATTGTTCGCACATATAGTCTACACGCTTGATAGGATAGCTCGCTTTTATCCATTGTTTTTATTTCTTGATCATGGTCTAAGAATATTAACTCAAAAATTCCAGACATAAATACTCCACATGTGTTAAATTATGGGACATGGGATCTATAAGATGACTAAGGACACTTGCTGCCAAGCCTGGTGATCTGAATTGTATCCCTAGGACCCATAGGGTGGAAGGAGAGAGTCAACACTTGTGAATTGTCTTGTTGCTTCCATGTGCATGTCTTGGCATGCATCCATCCCTCCAGATACACCATTAGACAAACAAATGCAACAAAACTTTTAAAAGAATTGTATGACATCATTCACAGAAATCTTTTGCTGGTTGTCTTAGGGTTCTATTGCTATGAAGAGACAACTAATAAAGGAAAACATGTAATTGTGGTAACTCATTCACAGTTCATAGATTGGACCCGCCATTATCACGATGGGAAGCAAGGCAGTGTACAGGCAGACATGGCACTGGAGCTAGGAGTCTTTACCTCTTGATCCAAAGGCAACAGGCAACAGGGAGTGGTCTGTGACACTGGGTAGTATCTTGAGCATATAGGAGACCTCAAAGCCTGCCTCCACAGATACATACTTCCTCCAACAATGCCACACCGCCTAATAATGCTACTCCCTTTGGGGGCCATTTTCTTTCAAACCACCACTCTGGTCCACTCCATCCTGTTCAGTTGTCCCTTGATCCAACACAGCCAGACTGGGTATGCTTCCTCTCACTGGCCATTAGTGGTTATCTCGGCATGACGTTTTCATTCAGGTAAGTCTTATTTCCCTTCATGATTCATCAAAGCATAAGGACAGAGATGGTGACAGTTCACTTACACTGAAGGGAAACCCTAAAGTGCTCCCCCTAAATAGATTGGTAAAGTTGTCAACTTATTATAGAAGAAATGAGTGTTGAGGCTACCAAGATCTATAATACATTCTACATTTTTATAACATTTATTATAGCGTATTATTATAAATTTTTTGAGACTTACATTATTGGCTATTATTTTTAAGCTTACTGTTTTTAGTTTGCAAATTAAATTTTACTGTAGGTATTTATGAGTGGGGGAAAAACACAGTCCATACAAGGCCTGGGATGTCTGCAGTTCAGGCATCTGTTGGAGGCCTAGGATACACTGCCCATAGAAATGAGGGCATTGAGTAGATGTTAGCTTTAATCATTAAGTTGTATTCATTATTATTACTAGTTGATTTTTTTCAGAACCTAAAAAACTCATTTTGCTGACTTCTCTGCAACCTCCATTGATAGGTCTTATTCATGCAACCACTATCCAATGCTATAGTGTAAAGCTTGGAGAGAGAGTAGGCCAGTGTACTGTATGTATTCTGCAGCCATTCCAAATCACGTGAACAGGTGGCAAGAATCCCCTTGTCTTGTTTTTCATATAATTGCATGCAGCAGTCTTGGCTCCTCCTTTAGCCCGTGTCTATAGTATTCCCCAAGACATTCAGTAGATTGACCCAAGCGAGGACCCAACTCTTCCTCCTCAACTGCCACTCACAAAGAATATTATACTTTGAGATGCTCTTTTGAATGCTGAATCTGAAAGTTAGTTTGTTTTAGAGAAGGTGGAAAACCCCTTGGAATTTTCCCTTCTACCTGCCTTTCTCTCTTGCTCCTTGATTCTTTGTTGTTAAGCAATTGGATTATGTCATTTTCTATCTGTATGAAATGCTTAGGGGAAATTATGCTAATGTAGCTTCCCTTGCTATCTTGGCAGAGATTAAAGTGTAGTTTCCCTTTTCAGGTTCAGAGGACACCCTTCTGAAACAGTCATTATTGTTGCATAGCATGGGGAATTTCATAAAATCTCATATAAGTTTTGTTCTTTATCAATCAAGTGATGATAATTTGATGGTGCTGTTATGGATGGATTTCTGTAGTAGGTTTACACCTTTAAAATATTCCTCCTTTCTCATTGACTCTTTCAGATGTAGTTAGATGAACCGAGGAGTCTCTTGTTTGTGTTCTGAGTAGATGCTTTGCAGCCCTTCCTGCTAACACAGGTCTCCAGCCACTGGGGTCGGATCACTCATTGCCCCTTGTTTCTCATCTCTGAACTGTGGGAAAGATGTAATAGGTGGAGCGTTAGTTCCTAGAAATAACGTCGTTGTTCTCCTTGTATGTCCACTTCTTTTTGTCTGTGTGTGTGGTGCTGGGGATGGAATTTAGGATGATACACGCACTGCAAGTGCTTCCCCACAGAGCTCCGACCTTAGCCTCTAATTTTGTGACATCTCTTAAGCAGATTCTTCACGGTGGCAGATGTATTATTATTATTATTATTATGCGTGAGAGGCAGATCCTGAGCCATCTTCTTTTTTTTTTTTTTAATAATATCACAAGCTGAATTGTAGAAACCTCAGGAACGGCCATTTATTGGCACCGAGGAATCTTACTGAGGTTTCCTTGGCATCTCATGCAGTGTCCCCACCACGAAACTACTTCTGTCAAAACGTTGTCCTTCAACCTCTGTCCCTCTTCTCTGCTGCCAGAAGTGAACCAAAATCCTTAGATGCTCGATTCCCCATCCCCTGCTCCTGCGCTAAGCCTTGTTCTTCCGCTCTGTAGCAGTTTCCTACGCCAGGGTCCTTTCTCTTCCAACAGAAGCGAACACTGCAGTTAGAGAGATAAGCCTTTCCCGCTCATCCGCTGCTTTCCTTGTGTGCAGGATTTCAGTGGAAATAATTCGCCACTCCATTACATTTACATGTGAAAAGGCCCAGAGGATTGTTATTTTTTTTCCTCTAAAGAAATTACTTTCCAAAAAGCCCCTCTTGACTGAGAATCCTTTGTGTTGGTGTGTTTACTTTCCAATGTCTGTCTTTGTTACCTGTGGAAATGCAGGAGGTTTAGGCAATCTCAGAAACCCGGGGTCTGCAGAACTAGGGTTTGGGGTTGTATTTCATACTGAACTGCTTTCCAATATCCAGGGAGAAGTGCTGCAGATCGGCCCCAACCAGTGCTGCCCGCAGTGTGCACCGAGGACTCCTGGCTCTTGTCACCATGAGGGAAAAATCCATGAGGTAAGCATCAGGTCCAAGGTGCACTTGTGGGTCGCAGACAGAAGAAAGCCTACTGTTAAGTCCCAGATGCTAACAGATGGGTTTTTCACTTGTTTGTGTAGTCTGACTAGAGAGCCAGGTGTAGGAGGCTCATTTGGCTTTCTGTGAGTGCTAAGTGTTTTTGTTGTTTGTTGTTTGTTTTTGAAAAGTGTCCTATTTATCCCAGAAGCTTTACATAAATATCTGTACACTGAGTTTGTGTCTGCATAAAGAGCAGACTGAGAAGATGTTGGGGTTGAAGGGCTCGCAGTCTTGAATAATAACAGCACCACCCCCCTTTTGTAGATTACATATAGATTTTTGTTTGACAGTTGTCTATAACCCTGAGCTGGTGAGTAGGGCACATGTGACTACTCCCATGCTAAAGTTGAAAAAGACAATGAAGTTGCAGATACCTCGAACCGTTTGTCAGTGTCCTGTTACCTGTTAGGAAATGATGCAATCCAGGTGAGAGTTTGGTCTTTTAACTCGTAGTTCAGGGATGAGTCCCTTAAGGTATAGTTTTTCAGTCTCAGGACCGTAAACGTTTTTGTTTTGGGGTCATCCTAAGAACTAGAGGGAGTTCAGTTTTTCCCTGGCTTTTCCTCACTAGACGTGAAGAGCATCCCTCAGGCACGACAACTAGCAATGTCTGTCGTATGCCAGGCTTTCCTTAGATTGTTACCCTTCCCTGCCTTCATCAAGAGCCAGAGTCCTGACAGTCTGGCCCAAAGATTAATTTCCAGAGTCCAAAGATTATTATTTTTTCCTCCTTAGATCACATTTCCTAAATCCTACAAGCTTAGTTGTAGATATTAAATACTAATTTAAACGCAACACTGTGAGATTTATAGCAGAGCTTTTGAAACTAGTTCCTTTCTCCTTGCTAAAGCATTCCCCTGTTGTATCAGGGAAAGCTGAGCTCTCTGAAGAGAGAGAGGCTCTGTGCTTTAATGCTCATTTTCCACCTGATACAGTATGTTCCTGGAGTTAGCATCTCTGCCTATTCAGGAGAGAGCGTGGGTTAGCAGGATTTGATAAGCCCACTCTCAGGTGCTATTCAGTATATGTACCCAAAACTCAGTGAGTACAATGCTCCTGTCCCCATGGACTGGGTCAGCTTACTCAGCCCACTGTCTCCCAGGAACCGTAGGAAATGTCTCTTTCCATTCCACACAATGTCCAGATGAGAGACACCTAAGCGGGATCTACGCTGGGAATGTCGTGATCCCAGCTGTCAATATGTGTTGCCTGAGCCGGTTTGTTCTATAGGGTGGTGTCACCTTGAACTGCCACATAGGATCCCTGGGATGTAGAGGTGTTACAGGGCTGGCTGGTGATGCGATTCAATGCCGGTTCATCACGTTGAACACAGGTGTGTTGTTTAAGTTGACCGAATTCTTTGCTGGCTGTGTGATGTCCAGGAGATACTAGGACCCAAAATACAATCAGGATCTGGTCTGGGAGAGAAAAAAAAAAACAAAAAACAAACAAACAAAAAAAAAACAGACACATCGAAAAGACATGGTACCCGAGATAGTTACGTAGAGATTTTAAAACTGATTTAAGAGCACCCTTGCCAGGATTATCCTTGCAATTCAGCATGGGTCTTTTAATGGACACCATCTGTTTACTTATATTACATTTATACACATTATAATCTTGTAATCTTCAAGTCATCTGAGAGTACTAAGAGTAGTTGGATATCTTTGTAGCCATCTTTGCTTGTTAAACTAACATAGAGCGTGGCCCTGCCTTCTTCAAAACAGATGCTCAGTGAATATAAAAGAGTGAAAAGCTCAGGCTGATATTCAGTCTTTTCTCCATCCTCTTCAGTGTCTTCGCTCCAGGGTAGTCACTGTCGTGGGTGGCTAGGCATTTCTGAGGCCATAGGCGTGTTGTGGGTTAATGATAAATCCTTGTGTCTCTTAATTTTGCCTTTCCCTCTGCCTCCCTTGGAGCTCACTCCTGCTGCAATATTGCCAAAAGCTGTAGACTAGATAGAAACAGGCTCACGTGCATGGTTTCCTGTGTGTACTTTCAAAATTCATCCCCTCGGAAAATGTTATCATGATATTTCTGGTACTTGATGTAGCTGCAAAAAAAGGCTGAATTTTGAGAACCGTGGCTTTGCAGGGAAATCTTTTATGCTCTACTTCTTCAAACAGACTGGAGAGTGGTTCTTTTTAAAGTTACAATAAAATCAAACTTTTGTCACAGGTTACAATGATTATGATCTTTGTTTTCCCATCCTTGCCTGCCCCACCCCAAACTCAATGACCTCCAGATTCTCTTCCAAATCCTGCATTTCTGATTTGCCCAAGCAGGTTAACACACTCATGTGCTTTTGTCTGGGTCTGGCCTGGGATTTTTCCCTGGCTTTCAGCTCCCCACCCCCACCTTTCTCTTCCCTTTCAGCCTATTTAGGAAGCCATTTTCAGAGTGCCTTGCCCCACCCCTGAACAACAGTAAGCCTCTCTTTGGCTGCTGGGTCGCCTCACATAGGGCTGGTTATGGCAACTTTCTTGGCAGCGGTAAATTAACCTGCTGTTTTAAGACTGCTGTGGTGTTCCGAAGTAGAAGCTTGGACCTGGGAGAGAGATTTGGTAGAGGCTTTAGGGTAGCCTGAGCGTGGCAGGAGGGGACAGCTGAAGTGATGCTGTCTCCACTGATTGTGGTTCAAGCTCAGGGATGTCAACAGAAGGCTAAGTTCAGGGCGACATGATAGGTACCCCTCAAGTGAACAGCTGAGCCTCAAGAGAGGATGCCTCTGCCTGTAGAGGAGTCAGCATCATATTCAGCTCTGAACTCAGCAAGCTGCCGCAAGCCTGAAGCCTTTTCCTTGAGTGAGGAAAACACTGGAGCCATTGGGCTGCCTCCAGGTTGTTTAGGAGTGCTGTGGGGTTTGTTACAGCCAGGACTGAGGAAGGCAGTTTTATCTCTAACCCTGCCAATGGGGTGCCTACATATTCTCTATGGGCTCTTGCCAACCTAGTCAGGGCACAATGCTTAAGTGTCTTTTTCTGAAGAGGTGTTTAAATGATTATTTTCTTGTCCCAGGGTGGTTGGCTCAGGAAGAGGTGGGGGCCCCCTGTAGTAGTGAGGAGGTGCAGGCTGTGTCCCACTGCCCGGCTAGCTTAACCCCCAAAATAACCACACAGAAACTGTATTCATTTAAATAATGCCTAGCCATTAGCTCTAGCCTCCTATTGGCTAGCTCCACATCTCGATTTAACTCATTTCTTGTAATATGTATGTCACCATGAGGTCGTGGCTTACCAGGAAAGATTCAGCATGTCTGACTCTGGCAACTCCATAGCTTTGTCAGCTTTTTCCCAGCATTCAGTTCTGTCTCCCTTCCTACCTAAGCTGCTGTCCTATCAAAAGGCCAAGGCAGTTTCTTTATTCAACCAATGAAAGCAACACATAGACAGGAGAACCTCCTACACCAGCCCCCATTGTCCCTTTCTCTCTTCTCCACACATTGCTCCCATCACCCAATAGCCTAAGTGTAAGGAGAAAGCACAGGAAGAGTCAGCAAACACAGAAGGTGTCAGGAGGTGACGACTTGCGTGAATCCCAGTGAGAAAGAGGAGTAAGGAGCATGGACCCTGATATTCCTTTCCAAGAGGGCAAGGGAGAGCTGAATTATGTATGTGAGAGAAGAAATTCATATTAAATTCAGCTCTGTTCTACTCAGAGTAGAGGGTGTAATTATAAAATACACCGAAAACTCTGAGATATTCAGTATTCTGAATTTATAACCTTATAAAAAGATAAATTAGGTGAAGAAATATATATATATATATATATATATATATATATATATTCTGTCAGTAAGCCAGGCAGATACTTTAGTCTATTCTTTGGACTTATGTCAGTATTCACTAACTTATTAGTTGACTACATGGAAGGATATATTGAAGATGTCACCTGTAAGATTTGCTTTTTCCAAAAATCTCATGTTTTAAAAGGGTGTTAATGAGGTTAAGATGGCACAGCAAGAGCTGGTCCTTGTGGGAGCACTGCTTGATGTGTCTATTACTCCTGGATTTTATGTAGCTCTCTTTGCTGCCACAGTGTTTATTAAAAGTAATGCATTTGTAAATGGGTATGGAGAACCCTGTGAAATTATTTATATAGATATAAATAACATTTGGCAGGTGCTGGACCCCTTGATCTCTAGGCAGAATGCTTTGCATACATTATCAATCCTCAAACACTCTGGGGAAGGGCAAAACACTCGTTATGGGTAGAGGCAGAAGACAAAGATGGAGGAGGACATGTTTGGCTCATCCTACCAGGAGATGAGGGAGTAATTCTCTTCCCTTGCCCTGTGCACCTTGGCTCACCCACAGGAGCCAGCTGTGTGGCTTTGACATGAAACAATGTTGCCTCCCTCCTGAATGGCCTTTGGTATTCCTATAACTCTCAAGGCTTTGTGAAGGGAGAAGCCACTGCTTCATCTCGTGTCTCCTGAATGAGATGCTAGATTCACATGATCCCAGAGCCCAAAGGTACCTAAGGGCTTTGCTAACACAGCCCTTTCATTTTTCAAATGAGAAACCTTGGTGATTGACAGGCTGTTATTACAGTTAATTTTTTCTGGCCTGTGTCTGAAAGGTGGCATGATTAGAGATGGTTTAGAAACAACTCAGGGATTCTTTTTCTCGTAGTAGCAAAAAACAAGGTCTTGTTTTAGTGAACTGAACTGTCTAGACACTTAGAAATAGGATGTGTTTTCTATGGCCATGTGACCCTGTGTGTCAGAAACAAAGCAAGGCTGGACTTGGTGAGAAGGGGCACTGGAGCAGTGGCTCCCTTTTAATAAAATGAACTTGCTCACCTGAAGTTGTTTTCTTCAATGGATTTAATACTAGGTGATTTATTAGCTGTTTTAATAGTAAGTTGCTCTGTTATGATAAAAATTACAGTATCCTATTGGTGAAAAATTGGACAATAGAAAAATGCATAAGCAAAACTAAAATCTGTAAGTAACTCCCATGTTCTGAATCCACGCTTTCAGTCTCTTGACTGTTGTTTTGTGTTGCCAGCAGGGGAGATGGCAGATGAGGCAGATCGGCAGGTAGGTGGAGAGATGGGTAGATCGCTAATACACAGATGTGTTTTCACACATGTCGAATGCATGGTTTATATCCCGCCTTTATAGAATAATGCTGTAGCTAGCTTCCTGTCACACTCTTGGAGAACGTTATTCTCTGCTAGTAGCCTTTGGGTGGCTTCCCAGTTTTCACTGAAAGAGAGTTTTCACTTTGACTACAGAGAGCAACGTGCAACCCTCAAACTGGAACCTTTTGGCATGCCATTGATCATTTTCTTGAGATAATTTCTTAAAAGCTAAATTAACAGGAAAGAGCATCTTTAAAAAAACACAATGCCCACCAAACAACCAAGCAAAAATAAGATAAACAAAAGCAGAAGAAATTCATGAACTCATGAGGGAAGGGCCTGGGAGGACTAAACATCTTCCTTTGTTTTTTAAAATCTTTAAAATGTTTAGCTGATAAGCAAAACGTGCCTGGATCCAGGTGCTGAGTGTGATGATTTGGTGTGCATCTACCCTGTGAAGTGACATCACAGTCAAGTTAATTAGAATAGCCATCACCACGCTTGCTTCACATTAGATCCGGGAATCATCTTCCCTCACAAGAAAAGGGTGTCTTTTCTGCAGTATTTACCAGCTCTGCTGTGGATGCTGTCGAGCACAGCTGTATACAATGCCAGGTCCTTCTGCCTGCCCACATGAACCCTAATTGTCCCTTCAACATGGTACCTTCTGAACCTTTCTAAGTTCCTTGTGAAGGACATACTGTTACATTGTCTCATTTTCCCAGACAAGGAAGCAAGATTGATGTAACTTCATTCCCGAGATAAAAATGCCTGAACCGAGCCCTGGAAGTGTGTAGGCCACTGCTGGAAATCTCAGCTCTGCCACAGCATGTGTGTATAACTGCTCCTTTGCCTTCCCGGGGTGTCTATCTGGAGGAGAGAGTAGTCTGACTGATAGTGGGCTGAGTTCCAGATCCCGGGATTACAATGGCTACCGGATACTGCGGTTGTTACAGTTCTAGCCCAGCCTTTTCCTAATTCCTAAACATTAGACTTGGCCTGCTTGCAGAGTGAAGAAGAGCTGACTTGTTCGGGTAAGATAAGGCTCCTTTGTGTATGAGATGGAAAACTATCTTGGACGCCAGTGTGAAAAAGCCAGAGAATCGCCTGTTACAACTCTAGGTGTAATCCCTAGGTTATATTTCTGGGACTGACTGCCTAGAACGTGCGGTACTTTGATAAAAATCCATAGATGATATGTGATGAAGCTCATCCATCATAGCTAGCTTTAAAAGAGGCACATTGGAACAGGTTCCGGGATTGAGGAAACTTCATCAAACTAAATTTGCTATGTATCTTGGGAAGTGCACCATCAACCCATCCTGCACTGGAGACTGGATGCTGGGGTAGCTGTTCTTCTAATCAGGCAGCACGCACATTGGTGTTGACAAACTGGTTTGTTTGCCCTCACACCAAGAATGACTAATTTAGATACATTGGGTACTGGCTAAATTATATAAGTGCTTTAAACCTGGAGAACATGGTAACCCAGCATTCTAGAAATATTCTGTATATGTGGATGGGTGCCCTCACTGGAACCATTTATTGCTCTCTAGTTTCTAGGGAAACTGGATAGAGTAGGGGCCTTCTTTTGACCCTTCTACATACTTCTAGGAATGGGAGATCAATAGGGGTGTATATGTGTTACTATGGAAGAGAGAGAGAGAGAGAGAGAGAGAGAGAGAGAGAGAGAGAATATAAGTCTGAATAGGAATGAGGATATGTGAGCTAATCAGGCTTGAAAGTCAAAGAAGGAATCAGATTAGAATGAGATCTATTTAAAGTGATAGGATCTAGGGGCCAGCAGTGTAGCTCGGTAGTAGCTGAATGTGTGGTTAGCATTTCAAAGATCTTGGGTTCAGTCCCCAGCACCTCCCAAATTAAAGACTAGCTTGACAGACGAGGTGTGGTGGCGCACAGCTGTGTCTCATGCTGCTTGGGAGGCTGAGGCAAGACGATCACTTCAACCCAGGAGTTTGAGGCCCAACATAAACAGCACTGCGAGCTTTTGTCTCGAAATAGATGATAGAGCAATTATGAAAATCCCCAAAAAGATGTTTATATACTTTACTATGGGATTCACCATTTCTTCAAATGATGGGTCTGGTGGTATTGACAGTCTAGAATTAAGCAAGAGGCAGGTCCCTGGGCATGACTGTGGAGTATTTCCCTGACTGCACTGATGGAGGTGGGAAGCCGCACCCACTGTGAGATCGCTTCTGGACCACATAGGTGGAGAAAGGCCGAGCCAAGGCCTCCATTCATCTCCCTGCTCCCTGATTATGCATTTGATGGAACCAAGTGCTTCAAGGTCCTGCCGTCTTACTTCCTTGCCGTGAATCTGAACCTTGACCCGTGAACTGGAATAAACCCTCGCTTTCTCAAGTTGCTTTGCTCAGATATTTTATCTTAGCAACATGGAAAGAAACTTGAGACAACGGGATAGGTGTTGTCTTTTTCCTTTTGCATCTTTCTGAAATTTTCAAATACAAAAATCTTGGCGGCAAAACGAAGAAAACCCATCTTTAAGTTGGTCTCCGGTAGAGAGCACTGCAGTGTCTGGTCAACCTTGCTGGGCCGGTTCAGTCCTTTCCCACCTTTCCCAGGCTCCACCCTCAGTACAAGGGCTGTGTCTGTTTGGCTGGCAGGAGTCTGGGGTCTGCAGCTAACCTTCTCTTTTCCATTTGCCTTGCAGCACGGCACAGAGTGGAACTCGGCCCCATGCACTGTGTGCTCCTGCACTCATGGAGAGGTGAGGTGCTCCCACCAACAGTGCTCTCCCTTATCGTGTGGACCGCAGGAGCTGGAATTCCTTGCCGAAGGAGGCTGCTGCCCCATCTGTGTGGGAGCAGGAAGTGAGTATCAGCTGGTGGGCAGGGGCCCTCTCTGTCTTTGAGGTTACAGATGCCATCTTTTTCTCTTGTCTTTCTTGCTCAGCGTGGTTCGGAGATTCTGAATTCCCTTCCTCTTTGAGCCAAGGTGGTGTGGCCTTGAATTTGGTCATGGGATTGGCACAGCTCTTTAGGCTTCATTTTAGCTGTGGAATTCTGCGGGTCTCTTATTTGCACATTGTAAACAGAGCCTCTGCTTTTATTTCCTGGCCGCCCAGACCTGACTAATCTCACAAAAACTATATTAATCACAGCACTGTCTGGTCAATGGCTCTATCATATTTCTAGCTAGCTCTCATATCTTGAATTAACCCATTTCTTTTTTTTATTTTTTATTTGAAAAAGAAAACAAACTATCTTTTTTCATTATACATACCAATCCAAGTTCCCACTCCCTCCGCTCTTCCCATCCCTTTCACATATCTCNCCCCCCCCCCCCCCCGCCACCCCCTGACTCCATCCTCTTTCCTCTTCTATCTGTGCTTGGGTTTCCTGCCTTTCTATATTCTGCCCTGCCATAGGCCAAAGCAGCTTCTTTATTAACCAATGGCAATAAAACAAATTCACAGCATACAGAGGGGAATCCCACATCAGCATATTGTACCCTGACCAGCTGCATCTCTATACTTTCTTTCAAAGGAGCAGAGAAATAGTCTCCTTTTATTGAACTTTATGGGGCATAGGTCATTTTTCCTTCTCCCTTCATAGACAGAAGGCCCAGACCTGTTCTCCATCCTACTTCTGGTTCTGTCGTCTGGTCTTAGATGCAATGTCTTTCTCTAAGACAAGCACAAAGTCGGGGAGGGGCTCCCTTCATTATGTTTCCTACAACCTCGCTGAACAGATTACTCCTGCTATACACTGAGGCACCCCACTTTCTCTCAGCAAGCTGGGGCATGCTTCCAGACCTGTCCTGTGAACCCATGCTTTCTCCGCGTATCCGTTTCATTATATTTTAGAGACGCGTGTCCTGTTGCACTTTCGTTGGTATTTGTATGGACTTTATTGTAAGCAGGAATTATATCATCAGTCCGTCATGCTCTCTGCTGACATGTAGCGATTAGAAAATGATTAAGATGCTTCTTTCTTTCCGTATTGGCTGAGAGTCATGCTCTCTTCTTGTCTTTTCCCTTTATATAGATCCCTTTTTTCCTTCCAGTCCCTGGTTATTCTACCTCTGAGCTCTTTGTTATAGATAGCCATACCAGAGATTTAAAGGCATGTCTAGGAACCCATGGGAGTGGAAAGTCTACCTGTGAGTGTCAGGACTTACCCATCAGATGGTATGAGGACCGTCAGCACCTTTACGTAACACAAGCCTGAATGTGAAACCACACAAGCAGCCGAGTTGGGGTGGCACAGGATGGTGATGCCTCATTTTCTGGGGTTCACTCTTAAATCTTAGGAGCATTTTTCATTGGTTCTCTATGAGAAAGACATACTTAAGACATTTTTCCTCTAGAGATTAGAGATTCATTCAGGAACAGTTACTTAATGGGTAAAAACGCAACATTTTACGCGTAAAGAGTAAAGGAAACTTCTACTTTGTCTCTCTGTATGTAAAAATTCTGTATTTTCATCTGCTCCCATGGATCTGCGAACACTCAAGGGTGAGAGGAGCTAACCCCCTCCCTAGCACCCTGTGCATACTCCAGAACATGGTACAGAGAACACATGAACAAATGCTCCCTCTTGGGACCGAGTTTCCTGAGCAGGTGAAGGGGACTGGTGTATCCGTGTTTGGACTTCCCGCCCATCTTCACTCTCCTAAGCCATTGGCCAAAATAACTTCATTCATCAACCAATGAAAGCAACACACATACAGAAGAACATCCCTTATCACATGGAGTTTGATTTGAGACAGTGTAGGAGAAGGAAGCTTCTGGAACATGACCAGAGGAGGACTGTCAACTGGGTGCTTCCTCTACTCTCTGAGCTAGCCGGCTTTCACCTCGGCATCTGGCTCCAGAGTCTTTATTGATAAAATGGAATGATTGAGATTTTGTCACAAACACCACGACCCATACAGTGACCCTGGGCCCAGTGCACTCAATCGGTCAGCTTTGAGACCAGCACATGAGTACTGACCTAGCCCTGTGCCTTTGTCCTTCCAGAACCCTGTTCCTACGATGGCCATATATATCAGGACAGAGAGGAGTGGCGACTGAGCCGCTGTGCCAAGTGCGTGTGCAGGAATGGCCTCACCCAGTGCTTCACAGCTCAGTGTCAACCTCTTTTTTGTGACCAGGTAAGGAGGGACTCTCAGAGCCGACTTCTCGCAGGGAACCGCCTGCCGAAGAGTTTCAAGAGTTGGTTTTTTGTTTGTTTGTTTGCTTGTTTGTTTTGAGATCCTGTTAGGCGCCCATCAAGATGTTTTTTTCCCCCTCTTAGAAGCTACGAATAGGTCTGATTACCAGCCATTTAGTCAAATTGCTACACGATGGAACTGAACCTGAGGGCTACACGTAAGGAAGCCTCCAGCTTGAAATGCAGATGTTCTTAAAAAAAAAAGTAAGGCTCAACATCTGGAAAGCTGGGTAAAAAGATGAAGTTTGTTACTTTTCTGCCATGTTTAGGTATAGTTTGCTTTTTTAAAGATCTAGGCATGCCTTTGAACATGATTATCCAGATGTACACCATTTAATTCTTATAGGATAGTGACTCAAGTTCCCAAAGTGTTTTCTCAGGGGGTGTTCACGACAGAGGGATCATCTTCATTTAATGCTGATCCAGTTTTCAAAACATTAGGCTGTTCACACAAATCTAGAGGAGAGACTCCATTGTCAATATATGTGGTGCAGGCAGTGTTTTATAGTTTTCTCCTCTTCCAGAGGCTCCCGAGGACGTGCCGGGAAAGTTGACAGATAACACTGAGAGGAGTTTTGCCTCCAGTGGAAAAATAGTTCATTTTTTGATCCAAGGAAAAGCTGGGGAAACCAAGATTTAGTTGCTACACAGTAGCCCTTTGTGTCAAATAAAACAAAATCAATAACGTGGCATATTGTGACAATTGGGCAATGCTTTAAAGGCAGACGAAAGGCAATTAGCCATGAAATGCTAAGTGCCAAATCTAGGGAAATGTATCTAATTGAAAGACTGGATTCTCGTGCCTACATTATGTCTAATTCTATGCCCTTGCCCCAGCTTTCAGTTCATCAACAAGTCTTGTTCCAGCTTCTGATCACATGTTGGACAAGGCTGTCATGTTGGGCGGGACATGTTGACATGTGTCATAGTTTATTCTTCCTATATAGTGAGGGCGTGGAGGGAGGAGGAAGGGGGGGGCTGTTGAGAATCTTCTGCTTTAAATTGTAAAATGACCATATATTGCATGCCAGGGCCAGACACTGGAATAATTGAAAGTACTATTTCTCATGTTGAAAAGAGTAACTGTGTACTCTTTCTTCATTCGTAGTATCCATTCATTGTTTATACCAGTGTATATAGTCAATGTAAAAGGTGACATTCTGTGTGATACCTCAGGACTAACTGATACATGAGTGACCCCAGTCACTTCTGTATTCTTAAGTCATTTTCCATCCATCTGTCCGTCTGTCCATCCATCCATCCATCAACCATCCCCCAGATCACTTAGAACCACTTAATACTAATTCAATACCTCTGTGAAATGTTAATTCCAACAACGACATAGAGGAGTCCTGTAGAATTGGTGGTGTTGATATAGCACCTAATCCCACCTATACCCTCAGAATTGCCAACACCACCACCAACAACCACAACAACACACTTCTCAGGTGTTTATTGTGTACCAGTTCTTTACTTCAAGGGCTTTGTAATTCTTGTGACAGCCCCATGAAGTAGGAGCAATTTCTACTGTCTTCATTTTGTGGCCAGCAAAACAGAGGCCGGGGGAGGGTAAGTAACTTGTCCCGGGTACAATAGCCAGCTCTTCGTGCCTCAAGCAGTTCTGTGTCTCTAACTCAAAAGATCACTCCCAGCACATAGTTAGTTCACAGTAGCAAGAGGTGCAAACATAACAGTCAAGTGTGGTCGAGCGTAGCTTAGATGCTTTTGTTTATCGAATGTAAGGGGGAAAATATAGTTCTCCATAGTTGAGCTCTGGAACGTTTCTAACTTGTTGAAGGATTTCCATGACTTATGAAGTTCACTTGTTCATTTGTTTGCTTTTGTTTTAATTAAGCAGGATTTTTTCCCACTAGTTAAGGAAAGCTTGGGAAGGGCAGAGAACAGAACAAAAATAATCCCTGATGCTCGATTTCTTTCTTTGGCAATTTGTCCCAGTCCTGATAGACAATGGAGACTCATGCTTCTTGGGATGCTGATGATCACATTCTAAAAGTTGGTGATTATCCACAGAAAAGGAGAAGATGTATTCCCTTGATGAAATAATGAATTCAAATGGAACTTTCTCCTCTCCCCTTTTGTCCAGATACCCTGGCAGCTGAACCATAGCCCTGTCACCTTTATCGTCATCACTAAAATGATCTTTGCAGTCCGATGAGACGCGATCCTGGCGATGTTTAGTTGGTTACTATGCTGCAGGGCATCTATCTACGCCAGGGTCTCAAGTATCTGAGGCAGGTGCCCCATCCCTGAGCCACATCCTCAGCCCACCCGCAGGGTTGTTTTGGTTTGAATACCACAAATTTCTCATACTAATGATTAACCTAAGCCATTTGAATTTCATCTTTAGGTATCTTTACAAAGAGATTATTTGTATGACCTCCAAGCTTTCACACACTTGAGAAACATTTTCTTGCTTCCTGTCCACATCAAAGGCAGTTTGGAGTCTGAACCTAGAGGGCTGAAGACTCATTTCCACTGGATTTTGGGTTCCAGTGTCACAGAGGAGTCGGAGGCCTCTCTTTTCTCTGCTTTGGCCCTTGTTGCAAGACATACAAGCTTTCCCTGTACTGTGTTCTTACTCAACGTGCCCGCCCGTAACCACCTTCTGGTCTCAGGTTTGGGGCTTTGTTTGAGGAGAGGATTTAGGGGAGGCATCCCTTACTTCAATACCCCTCCCCGGAGGGAGGACCAAGGCATTTTTTTTTCTTTAGTTCTCTTGTAAGGTGCCTCATTTCTAGTCTGTAATTTACAACTAGGTTGCAATGATGTATTCTTGTAGGATGGTTTTAAACCCTTGTAATTCAAACATCTTCCTGGATGTTTCTTGGTAAAATACTGTTTGGAAAAACCCATTCCCCATGTATGAGAGCTGTCTGCCAAAGATACAAGGCCCTGGGCCACTCAAACTAGGGAGACACATTCATGATCATACAGAGTGGAGTTCACTGAGGATTTAGAGACAGATTGTATCTTGGATTTTAACATGGGTGGGTTCCTACTTGCTGAGGCAGGAGGAGGTTACCTGCTTGTGAGCCTAAATGAGTGTGGGCCATACCAGGATGTAGGCAGCCTTTCTCAAAACCCAGCAATGTATCAGACATCAGAGGTCAGCACACGTGCTTGGGGAATTGGATGATGATGCCTGGTGGGGTCTGAGATGCATGCCAAGTTCATCTGGTGAACAGGCTGGTGGAATAACCAATATCGCTATGATTGTTGTCAATCTGAAGCTTCCCGTGTAGCTTTTCTTATCTCTTGCCTTTAATATAGAGCCTTTTCTTACAGTGCTCCAGTGTTTTGATTTTTTTTTTTTACGTTTGGTTTTAGGGAACCACTTTGGCTCCAATTTTTGTTTCTGAAGAAATATCTCTGAATCTTTCCTTGCTCTATTCTTTCTCAGTCATTTTCTCATTTGCTGCTCAGTCTCTCTCTATAGCTTTGAGGAGATCTTCTTGTTTTTATGTCTGCTGTTTCCAGAACTGCAGATGCAGAGATGGGAGAAGAACAGAAGCGAAGACCTAGTTTGCTGTCCTGTTTGTTGCTTTTAGATCACACTGTCTCTTCTTGCACAGCCCCCCCATCCTATCACCCCCACCATCCACTCTCATCAAACCCCACCGTAACAGGCTGGCATATTCCAGTCAGAGAGGTCATCTTAGTATACACAAGGTTCCAGGTTCAATTCCCAGCACAAGCAAAAAGTAAGTGGAAGAAAAGACCCAAAGAGGGGGCTGGAGAGATGGCTCAGCGGTTAAGAACACTGACTATTCTTCCAGAGGTTCTGAGTTCAATTCCGAGCAACCACATGGTGGCTCACAACCATCTATAATGAGATGGGGTGCCCTCTTCTGGGGTGCAGGTATGCACACAGGCTGTATACATAACAAATAAATAAATCAAAAAAGAAAGAGAGAAAAGAAAAGACCTAAAGAGAAGAGAGAAATCGTAGAAGTGTGCTTCTTCAGGCCTTTCCCCCTTAATGAGTGTTGCTGAGTCAATTAAAACAATACATTTTCATGCTCAGCTTTGATTGTTTTATAGCTCTCAATAAACAGCCTTGAAGTCAAAGTCAATAGAAGATGTTTCGTTTTCTTATAATTCATTCTTTGGGGTTTTCTCCCCACATCTGGTTTTTCATACTTGATCAGGAGAAATCTTTCTTCATTCCCTTCCTCATGCTACAATAATGGTGGCCTTTCCTCCACGCGGTCCTTTGGATGCGTGGCCAGGTGCTCAGCACTCAGGGCTGGGATCCACTTTCACTCGGTGTAGCCGTGCTGCAAGTGCTGAGTGAGATAAGATCTCTCCCATTTCTGCTGCCTGATCTGCTCACCTTCTGAACATAAGAAGCAAACCGCCATCTCCGGTGTGCACTGCCGGTGTGCACTACCGTCCCCGGGGCCTTTTCCGTTCCTTTGACATTTAGCCACCCAGGTTCTTAATCACTTTCTGTGACCCCTTGACACCCATTCCTATTATGTCGTGTTGTTGATATTATGGGCTCTGACTAGATGTAGAAAGATATGAAGGGCTGAGAGCCTGTGCCTGGCACTCTGCCTGCCTCGTTTGGCAGTCGGTGAGGACTGAGTCCTGTTCCGGGAGGGCTGGCTTTGGGGAGAAGTGTGATGGCTCTTATTTGTGCTCCTTCCTAAACAGCAAGAGAAGGCCACACAGCGTCTTACAGTTGGTGGACTTCCTAGCAACGACGGGAAGATGACTGTCAGTTCTACTTTATTTGTGGTGACATCTCTCTGGTATCCTCCAGTGTACTCTGATAGAAAAGTGTTTTGTCAAGACTCTCCCATGGTGCACTGTAAACTTCATTATCATACGAGTCTTTATTTAGGGGCAGCCATAATTCGATATAGCCTTCCTGGTTACTCTGCCTTCCCAAATGTAATCACATTCACCATATTTTATAGTACTGAATCTTTGCAGTTATGGAGGATATCATATTATCCAGGGTATATATCTTTCTACAAAGGGCAGGATTGAGTAGTTTTCAGCTTTGTGTGCAATACAGTTAAAATAACTGTTCAAGCTCTGCCATTGTAGCATAAAGATGATGGATAACATATAGGTATGTGGGTGCGTGGTGATAATCCAATAAAGCTTTATTTATAAAAATAGGTGGTAAGATGGACATGGTTTACAGTCCATAATTTACTGGTCCAAGTTCAGCCCTGTATTTGAAAAGAGTATCTGAAAGCCAGAAAAATATATGTTCAAGTCTTTGTAGTGGTTATATTTGTCCCGTGTTTTAAGAAAGACTGACCCAGGGATTGGGGAGGTGGTTCAGTGGTTAGAGCACTTCCTGTTTTCTAAAAGCAAAGGATCTGAGTTTGGGTCTCAGCACCTCTATCTCCAGAGGATCAGAAGCCTAATGCTGGCCTCTGTGGATAACCACACACACATATGCACACATACGTAGACACATATGCATGAACAATAAAATAAACATTTTAAAAAGACTTAACATTGAGTCTGCTTAGGACAGACAATGAGCAAGGCTTAGTACATTTCTTCACTGCAGCGAAGTTACTGGATCGTGTGACTCAATGTATCCACTACTTTATTTCATCAGCCAAAAATTTCCTCGAAGAACTCTGAAATCAAGACGTGCCCAGTTTTCTCGTTGCCTATCCCATTTTCACGCATTCTGTTGGCCAGCCATGATCATAACATTTTACGTATAGACTAATAAGATATCTCCACAGAGAAAAGAGATGCTGTTTTAATCCCAGAGGTTAAAGCATTTGCAATAGACCTATCAAGTAGTGACGCGGAAACTTGAATCGCAACGGGTAACTGTGTTAACTGATTGTGGAGGTGTATTCCTGGAACTTTCAATGAGAAGCTGACATCATAGGACCCCTGTCCCTTCTGTCTTAGCTATGCTGGTCTTGTTCTTCCAGAAGGAGTACCAAAGTAACTACGGTAGTAAAGCCTTCTATACTTTCTCCTTGTAAGACAAAGTGGAGGCACTGTTCTGGAAGGGTCTCTCTTTTGTGTAGCGTGTATCACTTTTTAGTCTTGACAACTTAGGTTGTTCTCATCCTTCTTCCCCTTTTAATCGATCCTCTCTCCTGTATTAAAGAAGGCTGTGGGGATCAGTAGGAAGCTGACTCTGTGTCAGTTAAGAGGATGCAGTTGCTGTGACAACAGGGATAAGTACCTGACTCTTCTGGGGTAGTGGTTATCGTAGAGATGAAGATGGAGAGAAAGGGCACTGGGGATGGTTCTTCAGCACAGGATCTCCGTCACATTTCTCTACACTGTCTATTCTAAGATTTTTTTAAAGGGTGATTGACTCTTGCTTGTGTTAAGGACATCCCCAACACACCTGCGTAAACTTATGGGTTCATCCCAATGCACCTAGATAAAAATATGGATTAGTATCAAGGTGAAGAAGGATAGTAAGACAGCTGATTAAGAAAAGGGCTGCCTTTGCCTTTGGGTTTAGATGCGAGTCAGGAGTGTAGATATTCTTAATGTGGTCGGGGCTTTGGAGTTTTGTTTCAACCATTTACCATGAGTAGTCAGCCATATAATCTTATACAGCTTGTCTACTGTTAGCGTTCTCACTTCAGGCTGGAATAAGACCATCTACCTCATACAGGAGTTGGGATATGCCTGGTGAAGACTAATATTGTTTGATTTTTATAGCCATTTGTGCTTTGATGGGTGTTAGTAAAAGGTGGGGCATGCGCACACACTCTTCCTAAGGTTCCGACTGACCTTGAAAGACTCATGCCTGCTGGAGCCCTGGGTTACAGATGGATGCTGGGTGACAGGAACTGCTGTCCCATGTGTCTGCACATGTGGCTGAGACGGCTGGGAAGTAGATTTTTCCTATGGATGTAAATTTCATTAATCCTTTCTTTTGGTGGCTTGTCCCTCGTCGGGTGTCAAGGATGAAATCGTCGTCCGAGTCCCTGGAAAATGCTGTCCTCAGTGCTCAGCACGATCCTGTTCTGCAGCTGGCCAAGTGTACGAGGTAACCTGCGTGGGCCCCGCACGGGTGTGTTGACATATGTTCTCACACTTGTGCCCCATGCCTTCCAACCACAGAACCTCCCAACCCTCCTCTCTGACTCACTGCCAGGATTAGTTACTCAGTACATAAATGGCTTTTATGAAAATGGCCCTTATGAAAAAAATTAAGCTGAAAAGGATTATAAATATGAAAGAATGTGCTGACAAGCAGAATCCAGTTCGTGAACCTTGGGAAAGCTTACTGTTCACACGCATGTTGAAGAGAAGAGGGGGGGTATCTTTTGTCGCCAACCGTTTATGCTGTTTCCAGCCTCGGGAGATGTTTGTCTCTTTGGTTGGATTTTATACACTGATACCCAATGACACCTATGCCCATATAGGAAGAAACATGGGGATGGCAGAGTAGACAGGTCGGTCCGATGAGAGATTAAAGGTTGAGAAAACTGGAAGTTGAGTGTTGCCATTGAAACAGTCTAGACAACCAGGCCTAACCTGTAGTAACCTGTAGTAGCCAGCAAATCGAGGGAATGAATAAATGTTCTGTCTTCGGAGTGCTCAGGTGAACCAGAGTCACATTGTTCTGAAGCAGAACACGGAAGCAAAACAAAGTCCGCTTATTTTCTTGCTTGTTCCGTGCTCTAAGGAAAGGAAATAGAAACTGGGATTGTGGCAATAAGGGGAATCTGCAATGAGAGTCCCACTAATTCTAGATGCTTCTCTTGAGATCGGAATGAAATAACTAGTTGGAAAAGGGTGTTCAAACTAAGGTTTGTTTTAGTGTGTGTGCGTGTGTGTATGTGTTCCCGTGTGTGTTCTCTCGGATGTGCACCATGTGCATACCTCAAGTTTTGAAGTACTGAAGAGAAAATTGCATCCCTGTAACTAGAGTTACAGGTAGTTGTGATCCACTGTGTGGGTGCTGGGAACCCAACTGCGGTCCTCTGCAAAAGCAGCCAGTGCTTTGAGTCACCAAGCCTTCTCTCCAGCAGTGGGGAACTCTCTGTGTGTATACTGTTTGGCACAGTGGTCTCATTGGGTATTTTCATTGGGCAGGTTTGTGCGAGGTTAATTTTCTTTGAGAGAGGAGTTTTGAAACGGTTTGATATGTTTGGTTGCAAATCTCAGAAATGCCCCAGCCAAAGTAACTAAATAGGGAGGGATCTTCAGGGTCGATCAGTTCAGGTCTCTGTGTTGTCCCCATGTGAATATTTGCCCTAATCATGTCTCCTTGTTGTCCCCTGGATGACCTTTTATTGCCAGGAAGTCAGTGCTCTCACATGCATTGCTACTGCTTGGTGAAAGAAATAATTTGTTAGCAGAATAATTTTTTTGACCTTTAATATTTGAGCAAATCTAGGACTCTTATACCCTAGCTGCAAGGGAAGCTGAGAAAATAAGCTTTTATCAGAGATTCCCGGCAAGGAAGACCTAAGGGATAAGGAACTGACCAATAGGGTCTTCCTAAGTCCTCTAAGTGCTGGATAAAGTGACCCTCAGCAGATTATATCCATGTAATCCAAATGCAAATTTATTTGAATAGTTATTGACTTTTCTCTTACGGGCCACTTCTACCTAAGTAATCTCAGGAATACATTATGTGTGACTACATTAAAAAAATGTAATGTAAAAGTATGTCGAGCTTCTGTTGGACGCATGTGGCCTTTGACGTGCAGTCCTCCCTTTTCCTTTCTCAGCATGGTGAACAGTGGAAAGAAGACGCCTGCACCCTGTGCGTGTGTGACCGGGGAGAGGTCAGGTGTCACAAACAGGCCTGCCCTCCGCTGAAATGCGAAAAGGTATTTGAAAGTGTGTGGCTTGGTCTTCTAAGCTTGATTCTGGACCATTTTAGAAAGGCATTTCTTAGTGTACTGTGTCCTTTGATAGAATCAAAAGCCTTAAAGAATGTGGAACATTATACAAAGATATAAAGGGCCTGCCTCCCGACAGGAGAGCTGAGGTGGAGAATGCTTTCCCCCCGGGCCAGCAGGGGTTGTGTTACACAAGGCCAGTGTTCTGTGTCTCTCTCCCACCCGATGACTCCATTGTCCCTGAGGGACTGTCCCTTCCCTCACTGTTTTCTGTCTCTCCAGGGTCAAAGCAGAGCCCGGCCTCATGGGCACTGCTGTGAAGAATGTGTGTCTCCTGCCAGAAGCTGCTTGGCCGGTGGGATCCTGCGGTACCCGGATGAAATGTGGAAAGGCTCGGCCTGTGAGTTCTGCGTGTGTGACCAGGGCCAAGTGACCTGCCAGATGGGAGAGTGTGCCAAAGTGGCCTGTGGCCTGGTAAGATGTGACAGCATTTCCATTTGTGCGGTGGCAGCTCCTTCCAGCAGATGGTGGGTGTTCCTTCTTCCCTGGCAGCAGAGGGGATGCCAGGCTGATGGCTCACACTTCTAGGGGCCTTGTAGCACAGAGATGCTGGGGAGGGAGTGAATGTCACTGACGGTTCCGACCAGCTTGGAGCAGTCCCTGGAGCTTTTGTCTATCGGTGCATCTGGTCAGATTAGAAGAGCGGAGCCAGAGGCGTAAAGGGAAGGACATGATGTGGGACATTAGCCTGTCATTCGGTGCAGCTGGACCTCATCACTAGCGGACTGCCGTGTTTGGTCTGCAGGTGTGCCCCCAGCAGGGCTCTTTCTGCAAGCTGCATTTAGTAGAAAACACCCGTGAGCCCTCCTGTGGACTGGGAAATAAAATTAAATGTTTTTTCTTCCATCCTCCCTCCCTCCCTTCCCCCCCCCTCTCTCTCTTAAGGAAGGAGCAAGGGGGGGGGGCTCATAAACAATGAACTCTGCTGACCCCTGTTGACTTCTGCTATCCACAGAATTTCTAGCCATTTCTCACATAGCGACCTCTTTCTTGACTTCAGATGTATATTTTAGGGAAATTACATCCCCCCCTCCCTTTGAACTCAATTTTGACCCATGACTTTAAAAAAGAAGATGCTTTTAAAGTTCCCTCCTCCTCTTGCCGCTCCCATCCGCCCCTCCAGTTTCCCTCAGGGTTGTGAACTTGAGGCCTTTACAGAGATCTGAAGCATAGCTGTCAGTGAAGGCATTTTCCCCTCTGGTTCCTCTCCTCCACTTCTCAGCTCCTCCCAGCACTGGGTCTACAGAGGAGCAAGCTTCCTAACAAGGCTGTCATTTACAGCTTGTTTCTGACTTTGCCTCCTGAAACTAGATCTTGGCCAAGCTGAAGCATACTTGGGCAGAAAGGGCCTCGCCTTCTCGTAGATGTATTCACCCCCACACACCTTTTCATTTTTTTTTCCCTGATGTGAGGGGAGTCTGAATGGTTGGAAAGACTTGAGAAGAGTCTCAACGAGGGCCTTCTCCCTCCTCTGCCATCTTCCCTCTGCATCTGAGGATGCTGGGTTATTCTTCAAGGTTTAGTTTGTTGACTATTCCAGGGTTTTTTAAAAATGTAGAGAGGTGGCCCTGGTAGGCTGGGTTTCTCAGACACCGCGTGTTAGACCTCCTCACAGACAGGAGCATAGCTCACTTCTCCTCTGGTAGCACCCGTCTGTGTGTCTGCTGGCCCAGTTGGGGTAGGGTGACACCTTATTGTGCTGACGTAAGCTAGGCTTTCCTTGGGCCTTTAAGGGAAACGAGGAGTGGCTGTTAGGGTTGAGGGTGCCTGGCTTCTCCAGTCATTCTCTCATCTTCTGTTGGCCGTGGCCTCAGGACTGAGGACTTGAAGCCTGCAGCCCATTTCTCCAGTCTTTAGTCTCTTCCAGAGGGTCCATGTACCCCACTTTGTGTACATTAGTATATTCTAAGCTGGAAACAGTGCCAGTAGTGAAATTTTAACCAAAATAGAATCGTAGGAGGAAGAAAAATACTCCCAGACCTTTTTCAGACACCATAATTCTGAAATTAGCTTTGGTTAATGGTCTCGTTAAGGCCTGGTTATCCTAATAGCTTCTTAATTTCTGCTTGCTTGTATCACTGGTGATAAAAAGATGAAAAAGGCATACCATGACCTTGAGAGTCCCTGGGATTTGTGGGAAGCCAGACACATAAACAGAAGTGATTCTACACGGAGGTCTGCAGGAGCACCGAGGATTATGGAAATAGGAATTGAATGCCTTCTGAGCTCCTGAGGGAAATGCCTGTGAGGGGGCCTGCACTGCTGGTACTTTCTTCAGTCCCGCCCCGCGCTCTGCTCCCCTCTCAGATATATCAAGGTCATTTGACTTCTAATCCTGGAGACCAAGGTGCATTGGATGCTAGTCACACATCTTCACGAAGCTGCAGAGACGTCACTTTCTACTGGTGACAATCACAAAGCTCCCTACTGTTGCTTATTACCAGATCTGTTCGCAGCAATGCTCTGAGTCGCCTTGAAATCAACGTGCAGTTTGTCCTTGTGTGAAAAGGAGGAAATGGCACGTTCTTTGTCTCTGGTGTTATTCAGTAAAGTCCCTAGACACTGAAACGTAAATTGATCAGTGGTAGACTAGCACGGTATGATTGATTTCGTATTTCCAGATATTATAGTGTCTTTGAACATATATTCAGATGAAGAGATCACATTATTTCTTCTTAAAAGGACCTATGGTATACAGGTGAAAGATGCTGTATGGGGAGGAATGGGCTTGTAGCCCAACACACTGAAGAGGGAAGGCCAGTGTAAGCAGGTCGGGGTGGGGGAGGCTTTCCTTCCCTCCCACTGGAGGCCATCCTGGTCTAATAGGCGGTAGATTGACTTCCAGGGTCGTCCATCCATTGGGCATAGATAGCCAGTGGAGGAGGTCTAACAGATTTGATATTGAGAGTCCACTTACAAATGAAGTGAATGAGTTTGTTTCACAATTCAGTCCTGTTCAAAGCAGAAGTCAAGCGCTAGTTGGCAGGTTCCTCACAGCAGTGAGCTGAAGTGTTTGGGGACAGCGGGCTTCTATAAATAGTAAATCTGTTTAGACCCTCCTATGTCACCCAATCTGAATCCTTGTTCCCTACGAGCGGGACTTCTTGGTATTTACTGTTCTGTGCAAAGGCTCAGGAAGGCTGCCTTCTTCTCTCTATGGGCTGTGGGAGCTCCCAAGCTCTGCCATGCCTTTTCTTTTTAATAGAAGTACATACTCTGTCTTGCTTCAAAATATTGTTTTAAGCAACTTAGATTACACGCATATAAACCCTCTTATATGCTTTGAAAGTAAATTTCAATCTGATTCTCCAAGATGCCATCACTGCAGCTGATTCTTTGTGTTTCTGGAAAACAATTTATATGTAAATATGCCCAATCCCTATGGCACCCGCTGCTCTGGTGGCCTCTGACGAGTGTGAATTTTGATGGACAGCCATCCAAACAGCTCCCTTCTTTTTCCAATAACTTCTAGGAATTGTAAAATGTTACAACCATTCTTACGGTTTTGTGTTTGTTTTAGAAATTTATGTTTACCTTCATTAAAAAGGAAACTTATATTCCTTCGAGAAGACCTTGCAGATTCTAGCAGAGAGCCTAAAAATCCATTCTTAATGCTGCAACCCAAGGACAACTAATGCTTTTACATTGTGTTTTTCTTTAGCAGAGCCTTTTAAACATAAACCATCCTTGTTTAATAAGAGTATTTTGTTTTACAGTGATGTTTCTATTTAATATGGTTTCTATACTTTGAAATATAATATAGAGCCCCCAAGCTCAATATTAAATATTTAAAGAAACAGTATCATTCAACAGAAACTAAATGAGTCTTCAGAACTAAAGAGTCGACACTGCTTTGACGAACACTGCAGCCTTCCAGTGTTAGGTGTCACTGTTTACATAGACAAAATTTCAAACGAAATTTGTGATTTAGTAGCCTGTTCCCTGGAACGTGGGGTTGCAGTGCAATTTACACTTTCTAATCTACAGAACGGAGAATTATTTAGATTTCTTTAAAGCATCAAGCATTCATTATTTGGTAATAAAAATAAGTTGAAATTATTAAAGTGGGAAGATCCTGTAAGCAAACATCCATCTTCGGAATGTGGCATTTCCCTTTCTCCTCCTATAATTAAAAAGAAAATTAGCTGTAAGTGGGCTAACACCAAGAATTTCAGAATGATGAATAAAACTTCCTCTTCTGCTACTTAATTTATGCCTGAGCCTGCATCTGTGCATAAAAGGGCCCATCTGATTTGGTATTCAAATACTGGCTTGATTTGCATGCTGCTGTTGACACTAAGGTTGGGAGTTCTCACTGTATAGATCCGAGATAGCGGGCTCCTCCTGCCACTCATCTTTGCTGGGCTATGACGTTGCCTTGACTGCTCTTCTTACTCACGCGAGCTCCTGCTCATGGGTAGGTCAGTAGTTATGGCGTGGGAGAACAGAACACATGCCCATATCATCAGAACGAGGGAGAACAAGCCCTTGGAGAGTGCCCTGGGATGCGAGGAGCTGTCCCAGCGGAAGCTAACTGGGCTGGGTGTAGGGTGTGGGAGGCCATGGGGTTGTGGTGGGGAGCACACCCAAGTAAGCGGTGGGCTGAAGCCGGGAGTATGTGGAGTTTCTCATTCCAGTCAGGAACCCAGCTGCTTCTCAATTTAGCCCTGCTACCTGGAGATGTTAATTTGATGTGTACCGCTGAAACTCTTATTCCTACAGGGTGAAGAATTAGTTCACTTAGAGGGAAAGTGCTGCCCAGAATGCATTTCAAGGAAGGGTTATTGTGTTTACGAACAGAAGGCAGAAATTGTGAGTATCGGGTTAATAACAGAAGACTATTAAAATTAATAGATCAAGATTAACTTAATAAGAAGATCTTTATATTCAGTAAACTATTATATATACACAAAGAATGTGCTAGGCATTGGGGATAGAGGACTGAAAGCAGCAGATGGCGTCTTTTCTCATAGTGGAAGGGACTTTCTAGTATAAGAAAATAGACATGCAGACAGACAGACACGCGCACGCGTGCACACACACACAAAGTAGTGGGGTGCTGAGCTGTGGTAAACGATGGTTTCTTCTCCCTAAGATGAGTGGGAAAGTCTTTTTGTGCCAAGAAATCTAATCAGGGTGGGGTGGAGGTGAGAGTCACATGACTGTCTGGAGGACAGACCAGCAGGAGATACCACAAATGCAAAGGCACAGAGGCAGGTGCCTGTTTGGCATGTTAGGAAATTGCAGGACTGGTTAGGTCCGGAAGAAAGGACATGGGAGAGGAGCTAAGAGATGAGGGCTAGTAGGAGTCTAGAAGGCTCAAGTCAAGACAGCTGGGAGGTGCCTGAGAGCTTGGAGCCCTGCAGTCATGCTCTAACTTGGAAAGGATCAGCCTGCCAGTGTTGGGAGATGTTTTTAGTTGCCCAGATCAGCAGTTCTCAACCTGTGGGTCATGATCCCTTACATAGCAGTACCTTATCAGAAATCCTGGATATCCGGGACTTACATTATGATTCATAACAGTGAAATGATACACTTGCAAAATTACAGTCATGAATTAGCAACAAAATAATTTGTGATTGGGGTCAGGACAACATGAGGAACTGCATTAAAGGGTCACAGCGTTAGGAAGGTTGAGAACAACTGCTCTCAATGAAGGTTGCCAGTGGCTTGGTTTAAGGATGTACTAAATAATGGCCAGTCCCTAAATTCACTTTTCAGATAGAAATGGCAGCATTTGGAGAAAGCAAGATGGTTCGGTGGGTAAAACGGGTTTGGTGTGTAAGCCTGACAACCTGAGTTAGGTTCCTGGACTAATGCCCAAAGTTGTCCACAGACCTGCATATGAACACCGTGCTGTACACACACACACACACACACACACACACACACACACACACCAACACTCCCCAAGTGTACACTAAAAGTAAAAAACATGGCAGGATTTTGATGGATTGAATGTGGGGTGAAACTCCGCTTGCTAAAGATTTATTTCTTTGGCAAAGAAAGAGATTACCTTGATCCTTTTCAATTTGCCTTACATTCACACGTGCATGCACAGACATGTGGGACCAGAAGTCAGTCTCGGGTGTTGTTTCGGGTGTCGTTTCTCAGATGACACGCACCTTGGGTTTCTCACCATCTGGAGTTCACCAAGTAGGCTAGGCTGGCTGGCCAATGAGCTCCAGGAATCTGCTTGTCTCTGTCTACAAAGTGCTAGGATTGCAAGCATGTGATTCACTCAGCTTCTTTAAGTGGGTGCTGGGGTTCAAACTCAAGGCCTCATGCTTATGTGGGAAACACTTTACCATCTGAGTCGTCTCTCCAGCCCTGCCCTGGTTTTAAGGCTCATATTTTTCATATGGCTTTTGGGATGTTGACAGATTTGTTGTGTTTTTAAACATATATCCTTTGATCATCAACACAGTGGTCTCACTGGCCAATCAGAGTAGGCTGGAAAGAATTGGGAGTCATTGCTCCAGCTGGTAAACTGACAGCTCTCAGTTGCATCCGTCAATGTGCCAATGCTTCTGTATAGTCTCAGAGGTAACAGTGTAAGGTCAGCAAGGCAGGCTGTAAGATGCCTCCTATGCCACACACTGATCCTTAGCAGAATATGTACCCTCCTTATATAGTGAGGATAAAAATGACACTCCCCTGCTGGCCTATTCAGACATAGGTGCAAAGCACTGAGAGCAGCCGGCTGCTAATCTTTAGTTGAAAACACTGATAATTTTAGAATGCTGTCATCACTTGTCTCATGGGGATATTTATTTATCCTTATTCTAAGAATTTAGGAACTTAATGCTTCTCTATAAATGTTGAATTTGTGTTTCTTTTCATAATATCAGTCTATCAAATTCATTTTTGGAAGTAATTTAAACCAATGGAACTAAAGAAAACTATGTGTTAGAAATAAAAATGAATCTCCATAGTAGTCCTGGTACCATAAACATTCAAGCGTTCCACTTACAGGTTTAGAGTTCTTCACCTTGAAGAACCTGTATGCAGAGGGGAATTGAACCTGTGTGCTGATGTTCAAATGAATAAGAACAGCCAATATGTCAGCATATTGTCCTCACCCCAGCTGGGATGCTTTCCAAGCTCTCTATGTAGACAGATTTTATTTCTGTTCATATAAAATGAATAAAGTTGCATGCCGCTTGGTGGCAATGGATGGCTCCTAATGGAAAAATTGTCCTAATGATGTTTCTAATGGGATTATAAATACATTTCTCTTTCTTTCTAGATGTCTTCAAATGCAAGTGAAGTTAAGCATATTCCAGTAAGTATGGATTTTTAATTCATGCACAAATCCTTACAGAATTGTTTTAAGTAAGGACTTGCATGAATTTACCATGGGGGACTTGGTGTCTTAGCATTTTCCCTAGCTACGTTTGATCGTACTATGGTTGGAAACTAACGGGGTTAACAAAAACCGAGATTTCTATACACTAAGTTTGGCTCTTTTGCTTATTTGTCTATAATTGATAATTACATTTCACTAACCACAGGCACCTACACACAATCCTTTCCCTTCTTCTGGCGATTTTTCCAGCCGAGACTAGACAGATTCTTCTCTGAGGGAACTCTGTGAATGGTCCCATCTTGAAAGAAGAGCTTCTTGAGATGGTGAAGGGATCTCTCGTTTGTTAGCTCCACAGTGCTGTGGGTCTTCTCTTAAAGGCAAAGTGCATGTTTATACCTGCCAGCAAGCTTCTCATCTTCATTGTTAGTGGATAAGTGTCTGTGAACCCAAGCCGAATATGACCGCTTTCTTCTAATGACTGTGCGCTTCAGTTGTCTGACATTTTTCCTTTCGCTTTGATAGATACCATCAAGTTCATGGCTAGCGATAGCTTAGTTAGCTCAGCAAGCATTTTATCAAGACTTTTATTTTACAATCTACTCTCCTATTTTCTCATCTTTCCTCTCCGATCAATGCAGGGCAGCCTGCGAAGGGGCCTTGGTCTCATTCCGATTTCCAGGGTCAGTGGATTGTCAAGGGAATCACTTCTAGCCTAAGAATAGATTCTCTGTCTGTCTATTCGTGCATATCACCATAATTTGCTTGGCCAGAAGGGATATTTTAAGTAGAGAGATCTCCTGGTTCATGTGTAACCCACAAAAATGGACGTGAGGAAGCTTTAATTTTGAGAATACAATGACTTTCTTGTTATTCCAACTGTAGTAACCATAAGGAAATGCAGGGTTTGAACCAAGCTTCTCACTCCTATTATAGAGATTGTGTTTAATGGAGCCACTAACCACTAGGTACATCAGGCAATGGTAATGCCCCCTGGTGGGTTTTGTTTAGGCTTCGGGGCTGAAATGTGTTGAAAAACACATCTTAAATTCTTCTTACCTATTCTGCTTGCCCAAAGGTACCTCACAGTTTATCTCCCGAGTGTACTTAAAATCTTCCCATTGATGCGGCACATTAAAAGAACCCAATTAAAAACAAAGGAGAAGCACCGTGTTTCTTAAATGCCTTCTTGTCCGATGGCATGGTTGGGAGGGCAGGGGCTGATGGCATGCCTCTACTGGCCCCTGTGGAAGCTTGTTGTTCTGCCTCAGGAGTTTCTCTTTTGAATCTCTGTACCCTGTCACTGTCTCCACTGTCTCCCACAGGACGGGGAGAAGTGGGAAGAAGGCCATTGCAAGGTCTGTGAATGCCAGCAGGCTCAGGTCACGTGCTATGAGCCATCCTGCCCGCCATGTCCAGCGGCCACCCTAGCCCTGGTGGTGAAGGGACGGTGCTGTCCGGACTGCACACCAGGTAGGTCATGTCCCATTTATTCCCGCTGAGATGATTTTTTTTTCCTGTCAAGAAAATTCAGATATACTCTTGGTTTTCTCTCCATTTCTTTTTAGTTGCTTAAGTTTGGGAGTTTGTTGTTTTCTTAATTTTTTGGACAAATTATTCTTATTATTAATCTTTACAGAATTCATCTGGTTGGAACCATATAACTTTGGGCAAGTCATTGGCCCTCCCAATGTCTTTTTTTTTTTTTTTTAATTATTAAAGGTGCCTTCTTCATCTTGAAAAAAAAGTTTTGTGCTAGTCCAGGCCTATTTGCCTTCTGCTGCTGAAAAGATAAGAATAGTTCTACAAAATTTGCCAGAGATGTTTTCTTTCTTATTTTTTTTTTTAAGGTGAACTGTGAAACAGATGGCTCCTTTTGCAGTTCTCAAATGAGGTTTTAAAGTTTCAAGACTCATTAATTTCTCCAAAAGAAAATTTTATCTACATGTCTTGCAGTTGTGCTGTCTAGTCACCTGGGGTTGAATTAGTTCCGGTTAGTCGTTGTTGGCAGGCGCAGCGACGGCCCCAGCTCATCACTGAGTCTCCCCTTGCACAGCCCCTTCTCCGAGACGAGTGGCTTTCTGCCCATTTGTATTTCCTAATTAATTGTTTCCGTCTCTGAGCTACAGGTTCCCACGCTGGCGTCTGCTCTCACCAGCACCTTGTTGTGGCTAATCAGAGTTTCACTGGAGACTGTATCCAGGGGAAAGGAGCGGAACTTCATATTTAATTATGGTGCCTTTGCCAAAGTGGCTCTCTGGGCTTTGCAAAAACAAATATTTAGCATGCCATGTATGATAACACTCACAGAAATCAGGGTCTTGAAAACTTTAAAACCCCCAAACAGCCCTGTGATGACCATTTCCCCTGAGATGGATGCCACTCCCGATGAGTGTGAACAAGATTTGAAGAAAAAGAAGAAAACTGGCAATGTTTGCTATGCACTATTTTTAGGACTTACGGGCTATATGTCTGAAGTCTCCATGCATACCAGGCTTCAGAAGAGCCGCTTTGATGCTGTGGCGACTGAGTCCCATAACTAGGAGGTAGTTCTGTTATTCTCTAGAATCGGTGCAGCAGGCAGAACGTGAAGGAGGCCGTTCCTTCAACATAGTTGACTGGAGACTCTAGAAGATGATGATGGTGGTGTTTCAGACAGCGTAGGTCATGGAATCTCGCGTCAATGTGTGTTGTTGCTCTATGGGATCATTTTGCACCTGGGGTCTAATGTTCTCTGTCCCTCCTATTCCATATAATGTTTGCGTCCTGTGGACTCTTTTGTACTGAATTCCCTTCTTTGTTCTTGGTTTTAGTTCATTGCCACTCGGACTGCTTGACCTGCTCTCACTCTCCAGACCACTGTGACCTCTGCCAGGATCCCACAAAGCTGCTGCAGAACGGGCGATGTGTGCACAGCTGTGGGCTGGGCTTTTACCAAGCAGGCGGTGTCTGTTTAGGTATGGCAACCCAGAGGTAGGGTTATATAGGGCTAAAGAGATTGTCAGTGGGGTTTGTTCTGCAGCTGAGCCAGGGTATTGTTACAGAAGGGACCACAATGCAGGGTAATAGCCACCTGAAAGTTAGAACAACTTATAGGTACCTTGGCCTCATTGCCTCCAGATTTCTTTCTTTTGACATCTTATAGATGCTCCAATATTTCATGGAAGGTGGGGGATGTGGGTACCAGATGACTGCTAATAGTCATGCTGATTTCTTTCATTTAGAAGACTTAAAAGATGGTACTGTTCAGATGCTTGCTGTCATTTACTATAATGCTCGGTTAATCCAAAGTGGAAGTTTCCAAATTGAAGTTGATCTTCAAAGTCATTTACTAGAAGTTGCCAATTCTGCCCTCAAGGATCCAGTAGGCCAGACAGAATTTGTTGTCTTGTTCCATGTCACACAGATAACTACTAATGGAGCTTCTCTGTAGAAATTATCACAAGATTCAGAATGAGTTCAGATGCACTACGGAATGTTTGTGCATCTGAAAGCATCCTACCTAGCAAAGCTCAGCTTGGTTGAGGTCAGAGCCTATTGCCACCTTTACCTCTGATTTGTGAAGTTAAAAACCCATTTACTGGTTTATGGCCTGGCTGTGAATAGTTAACTTCCTGGTCCCCTCAGAAGGTAGTGATGAGGATTAAGCGTGTGAACATTGTTAAGGGCGTTGTAGAGTGTCTAGGAGACAGGTGATTCTTATTAAGGGTTAGCTACTTTTCATCACTATTATTTTAATTATTTTCCTTTTCTTTCTTGATTTATAGTCTTCATTCTTTTTGAAGGGTGTTTAGGGACATTCTTAGAAAACAAGGTGGATAATAAAGGTATTAAGGACTATTAGATAAGTAGAAAAGACCAAGGCTTTTTGAGCCAGACTTCCTGGTTTCAAATGCCAGTATCTGGTGGCTTTGGGCAGGTTATTTAATCTCTGGTGCTGGTCTCTCATACGTAAAATCGGGATTAAGCATGCCTACTCTGTAGTGTTGTTGTGCAGATTAAAGTGTCCATATCTACAAAACCATGGCACAGTGCCTGGCATGAGCTATCTGGTCTAAAGAATTGTTTATGACCCAGAGCTTCAGGATTGGGGTCTGTGAGAGTCAGCTTGGGAGTGGTATATTCTAGCTAACCTCCGGTCTTGTTTTTTCTTCTCCACCTTGTCTGGGGGAAGCCTGCCAGCCCCAGTGCTCCGCGTGCACCAGTGGACTGGAGTGTTCATCTTGCCTGCCTCCTCTGCTGATGAAGCAGGGACAGTGTGTGTCTACCTGTGGGGACGGCTTCTACCAAGACCGCCACTCCTGTGCAGGTAAACGCTGCCTGGGCTCCAGGTGGGTGTGCTACAGAGAGCTGCCCCAGCCCCAGCCTGTCATCAACTGGAAGCTGACAGCAGCTGTGATCAAGTTACTCGAATAGGAGGTGTGCTTTGGTTCATCTAGGGTTTGTCCCCTGCCTTAGTTAGGGTTTTCTATTGCTGTAATAAAACACCACGACCAAAAGCAACTCGTGGGAGGGGAGTGTTCGCCTTACCTTACACTTTGTCCTCACAGTCCATCATGACAGGAATTCAAGGTAGCAACCTGGAGACAGGAAGTAAATGAAGCCAAAGCCATGGAGGCGTGCTGCTTACTAGCTTGCTCTTTATGGTTTGCTCAGCCTGCTTTCCTATCAACCCAGGACAGAGAAGGCGCCAACCACAGTGGCCTGGGCCTTCCTACATCAATCATTAATGTAGATAATACAGGCAGAGGCTTGTTCATTGACCAATCTTGCAAGGATAGTTTTTTTTTTTCAACAGAGGCGCCCTTTTCCTAAATGACTCTAGCCTTGCTATATTCTGCCCTGCCATAGGCCAAACAACTTCTTTATTAACCAATGGTAATAAAACATATTCACATCATACAGAGGGGAATTCTACCTCAACTAGCTAGTGACATGTGACAAAATCTGACCAGGACATTCCCCGGGCGTTCATATGGTGAAAGTTTGTTTCTTTATGGAGTCATGTTCATGTAGTAAACTTTAAGAGCTGGTGCCAGAGGGAGGATATTTTAATTAGCTGGAAACACATGAATGTATTGTGTGTGCTCTGTGGAGTTCTCTGTTTTGTGGGACTTATAGAACAGGCTGTTTCAAGTAAGAGCACTGTTTGCTCACCCTCTTCTGTGTGCAGCTGATTTCTTTAAGATACAGTTCAAATACTTAATACTGGAATCTATTCTCGAGGGAAGAGTAGTCACACTATAATTTGATTTATTTATGCTTAACCAATTTTTGAATAATGTTTGAAATCATAAATGTAAGTTAAAATGTGCCAAATTTTTTATGTTAATTTTGGGTTGTTTACTCATTTATTTTTGAGACAAGATCTCACTGTTTAGCCCCGTCTGGCCTTATAATTTCAGTCTGCCTGCCTCAGCCTCCTGAGTGCTGAGAATATAAGTGTGTACCACTACACTTGTTTCTAAAACTCTTTTAAATGCAGAAGTGGGGAAAGAGGGTAGTTGAAAAAGAAATGCAGAGATCAGAGAATGAAGTTCATCTTTGGAAGGAAATACGCCTATGTACTCTGACCCCAAAGCTAGGTGTGTGGTATCAGGTTAATATGAAAGCTGGGGTGGCGAAAGGAGACTGTGCTTGTTGCCCCTGCCACTCTAGGGAGCAGGGGTGAATGTGTGATGAACAGTGGAAGGTGGGCCATTCTGTGACACAGCTGGTGTCTTCCGTGTGGTCTCCATGCCCTTGGTTAGCATGGGCAAGAGTTACGAAGAATAAATACATGTCATTCATCAGTTATGTGGGACAGAGTAGCTCCCCTGCCTTGTGCAGGTGCAACGTGGAAGTGGCTGCTGGCTCCCTCGGTCCCAACCCGTGGGAAGAGTCTGAATCCATGGAACTGAGAAAATGATTCAAGTGAAAGGCTAGAACTATCCATACCCAGGGTGATGTGGGAGCCAAAGGCCCGTTCAGTAACCAACCAATCACTTTATGGAACATGGAGTACAGGGTAGCTTCACTCTGGCCTAGGGGTTCTTTCTGTTGTTCAAGTAGCATACCTTCTCCATCTTTGTTTCTCAGCATGAAGGGCTGCCACATTTGTTGAGCAAGTGTTAAATAAAAATGTTCTTAAAATGGACAGTTCTTGAAGGACCAGTGTTTTCATTAACATCCCAGCCATAAAAGAGAGGGAAACAAAACCAGGCAGAAACCAAAGTCCAAACGTCTTGTGTTTACATCTCATCATGTTTTGTTTACCTGATGTCTTAGAACAGGCTCCAAGTGGGTAGTGAAAACAGCCTTACAAGTATTAATGACTGGGCAATTTAGAGAAACAGCTGAAATTTCAATTAGATGAAATTATGGAATAGATTCCCTTTCTTTCTCCTGTTAACATCAAAGAGGCCTCCTACTAACATATCTATGACCCATGTCCCCTTGAAGAAAGTTAAGGTCCTACTTCACCTCATATCATACACACACATAAATAAACATACATACACACTTATACACACATTCATTCACACAAACATACATACAAACAGATACACACACTCATTTACAAATATATACATGCAAACATACACACACAAACACTCATTCACACATGCATACATACAAATAAACATGCACACTCATATACGTATAAACACATACACACCACTTACATATTTTTCCCTTCTTCTCTTTGGCCATTTCCCCCTGTCACGCTCACTGTTTTAATTGGTGGTACTCATACTGGTTTAGGGCATTTTGAAGTAGGTAATGTTTCATTTGATTACTGGTTTACATAACTGCCTGCTTCACATTCCATCCACAAATCCTCGTGCAAACGCCTCTGGTAGAAAGTTGCTGGGAAAATTTGTTCGTGCTCCCTCCAGGGAATTAAACCAATTTGCTTTAGTTCAGGCTGGTTGCATTTTTATGCATAAAATAAGAAGGAGAAAAAAGGCAGAGCAAGAGAAAGAAGAGGAGGGTGTGATCTTAGAAGCTAAAGTGAGATTTGTGACCAGTTGCCATTACTGTCTTGGCATTGAGACTATGTAACCGCTTGACACATAAAGCGCTCTCTCTCTCTCTCTCTCTCTCTCTCTCTCTCTCTCTCTCTCTCTCTCTCTCTCTTCAAATACTTATGCTTGTGCCATTTGTGTTGACTTTTCACCATTGACCTTGGAAGTCTGTCAGCCAGATCAGGTTCTTCCAATATGTGCTAAACTTTTCAAAAAGATGCCTGCCATTTTACAGCGGCAGGGTTTCCTGAATTGATTTCTCTTGGCAGAGTCATTTATGCAATGACTGGGATAATTCTCCACTTTATTGACCCATCAAAACCAAGAGAAAGTGAGCATTCCGCCAGGGAAACTAATTAACAGAAATCTCCCGATTAATATTCATGCTCGCTATGTTAGATATAGGCAGAGTGAAAGATATGGGACAAAGCCAAGTAGCAAGTAAACACGGCTCTTCAAAAACGAGACCGTGAGCAGGTAAATGAAACAGCAAAGAAAGACCCCGAGTCCTGCCAGAGAGTCTCGTCCACAGGGCTTTTCCTCTTTTTCCTTTTCTTTCTTTCTTTTTTTTTTTTAATCATTTTTCCTTCCTCAAGAGGTTGGAGATATGTAGCCATATACACTGTGCCTTATAAACGTGTGAACATATATCAGTATTGTTACATTTCAGATTTGATTAAGCCAAATAATGCTATAATTGTGGATGACAGCATGTGAAGTCTCCATTTCATTTCCTTGCTTTCTTCAGGTTTGAAGTTTGATGGTTGATATTGACATGCTATACCAAGACTCAGCACTGCCCAGTTTGTATAGTAACCTAAAAAAACTGAACACCAGTGATGTGTTGCTTGTCTCTTTTATCCACCAGATAGGACCATGGAGGAATCACCCTGCCAGTGCCAATCCTTGCGTTTAGTAAGAGCCCTTAGGTTTCTATGTCAACCTTTGTGCATCCTTCACCACCAGCTCGATCTGCTTCAACACGGCCTCTTGCCCACTGCATCCCACCCTTATTGGTTCCATATACCTCAGGCCCCAGGACTGGATTTTTGCTACTTTTCCTGTTCTGACCCATTTTTGGTGGATCAAAAGTCTATCTGTTAGTCACTTGCAGTCAGGTGTCAAGCCTTCTCCATGCGTGGGTGCTTTCCCTCTCCGAATGCCTTGCCCCTCTAAGTCTGGATCCAGGCTGACCTCCCCAGGGCCTGAGAGCACACCTCCTTGCTTTTCCTACCCCTCTCTTTAGTCACCTTTGTTTTGTCTTGGTGAGACCCCTGAAGGATCCACACAAAAAATAATAAATAGAAGCCAAAGATGCCCTAAGAAAGAAAGGTAAAGAGGCCAATATCACAGATTCAGTAACTTTTCTACTGCTCTGACAAAACACTGTGACCGCGGCCATTCATAAACTGTTTCACTGGACTCATGGTGTCAGCGGGCTAGAGTTCCTAGTGCTGGAGTGGAGGCATGGTGGCAGGTGCCTGGAGCGGTAGCTGAGAGCTTACATCACCATCCACAAGCAGGAAGCAGAGAAAGAACACTGCAAATGGCTTTGGAAACCGCAAAGCCAGCCCTTACTGACACACCTCCTCTAAGGCCACTTCTCCTCATTTTTCCTGAACAGTTTCACCAGCTGAGGACCAAGTACTGAAGCATGATCCTGTGGGTCCATTCTCATTCGGAGGACCACAGTCACTACTTGTGATTAGGTTCAAACATGTGAGCCTTTGAGGAGGGATGGGTAGAACTTTGCCCATTTTTTAAGATGTATGTGTCAGTGTTTCTCTTGTTTGCTTGGGGGAGGTCTGAGGCTGATGTCACAGGGCAAGGCTACCTTTGCTTTGCAGGTGTAGAGTTGCAAGGAGTGAAGGACACTGTATAAACTTCAGGTCTGGAGCCAAAGACCTGGGTTTTCATTTTGGCTCTGTCATGTGCATGTGTCTGAGCCCCATGCTTCAACAGACTATGGGTACCATGGAGACAGAGATCTTTGTCCCATCCTTGTTGTTCTTAGTTAGAAAATGGAGCCGGTCCCTTGCAAGTCTGCTTCCTATTGGCTTTCTCCCCTGTCTGTTATCTTTCTAGTCATTCTATTTGAACCCCCCCCCCCCCCCGCTCTAGATTCCTAGACTATGGGGTAAATAACCCAGTCATTGTCTATAGTGAGCTGTCAATCAAGGTGGACTAGCTGTTACTTATAGAGATAGCCAAAACCAAAATAATAACAATTAGAACTGAAACATCAAATTCTGCAAAGTGCATTCTATTTGAACGTTCTTATGCACAGAAACCCACGGAATCA